GTTTCTTCTACTCGTATAAGAATCACGACGTTCATTTTATCTGCGATAGTTTGTCTCAGTATATTACAAGAAGCTTTTTTTTTTTTTTTTATTAAAACGTTTACGCAATTCCATGGCAGTTCTGAAGTGGTTCACGTTCTGCGTGTCAGTTTGGCTGCCGAGTTCCTTTGCTTTATAATCTTTCATAGTGGTTTTCAAAATGGCATCCATGTCAGTGCATTTCTTCCAAACGTCAAAGGACTCTACAGGTGCAAATTTTAGCATCATTCTCTTCCCAGGTCATCGGAAAAATGACACTATTCATTACAAGGGTGGACGCATAGTTAGATGCGACGGCAAAGGTCGACGAGATGATGCATGCATCCCTTCCCTAGCGTCACAGATAAGGACGAAAATGGCAGGTCCATTGGCACTGGAATTATGCTTCGGCAATTGTCTCCACTACTATTCTTACTGGCGGGATGCGAACGATAGGGAGTCTCTTAAGGATGCCTGGCTTCTAGCATGCGTCCTTTGCCTTACATCTTGCTTTGGCTACCATGCACTACCGAGAGCTTGCGCTGGAAGCAGGACAACCGCAAGACCTCCCTGCCGGTGACTTATGTGCTTACTGCCCGTTTCCAACCGCAGATAGCCTCAAAATAAACTGCGGGTAAATGAAAGTATGTTCCCTTTTCATTCCACTTCTGTGCGAGGTAACAGAGTGATGGACGCACATTTCGGTGCACATGCTCCCCCACCCATTAATCAAACTTGCAACTACCGACGGCAAATGTACGCGAGGTATTGACAGAGATTAGAGCATGCTTGCGGAACCTCAAATAAAGATGTGTTGATGAACCTACTCTGCAACAGTCTCATTTGTGGTAAATGGCATCAGGGAAGGGACTGATGGTATGAAGCTTCAGTACCCCCTTTCCAAAATAATTGCCCACCCCCCCCTCTCCTTTCCGTGATCAAGGTTATGGAGATCCCAGCCACTTGCACCCATTCTAAAATAATTGCAACACCCAAGTCTAAACATGGCTCATTTAGTCGCTTTTGTAACCATGTTGTTGGGATTTGTAACCATATTGATGGGCGCTCGTCCATCCGGTCCAGAGTTCCCAAGTTTTGGAAATGTTTATAGTGGGCGCTCGAACGAAGGGGGTGCTTCCGCGGTATTTTACGGCAAGTATAATTAGCAATAAAGAGCACTGATCTGTTGCAGTATCAATACCACAATCGAATCATCAAAGTACACAAGGATAGCATTGGAACATGGAATAAGAGCTCAGTTGGGCCTTTAGATCTTTCACAATCCCTGTTACCTACACAACCTTCCGTGTACACAGTATATCTTGTATCCATCCTAGTACTGTCCAGTTTTTGGACACATCGTTGAGAAAATGTTCTCTCAACATCACAGTTTACGCATTGTCATCAGCAATGTACAACATTACATTTGGTTCGACAGGAACAAAATACCTGGTGTTCCTTTCAAAACAAAGTTTTAAAAATAATTTCTCATCCTGCATTTTTTTTTTTTTTGCTGGTTGAAACGAAAATATATTTAGGGCAACGGATAATTACAATACACATAAAAGTGACATTTTGCCCATCAGAATCTAGGTAAGCTTCCAAAATCTGGAGCTATACTTCGTTTCAGCTACCGTCGGAGCGCAGCCAAAGGCTGAGGGACGGTTCGCAACTTCGAGAAGAGCATTCCTATGCAGAGCAAAGTAGTCCGCAAAAGTAAATTTTTTTTAAATAACTGTTTTGTGCGTAAACAATACACAACATTCCAGATGTGTACTGCTGAGAATGATTTGCAACGAAAGGAATTAAATATCTGAAGTTTATGTTTTTATTAACATATGTAAATGCATGTGGTTTGGTGAAAACACGTACATCCGCTGGCAACACGGCTGCAGCGCTCGGTCTTTGTGTGATTTCGTTCACGTAATGGCCGAATTATGTGCTTCGCTGCTTTCCTCACCGAGTCGCTTCAAAACATTCTTTCGCAAAAGCACGTTTGGCCGTCAGGCGCGAGAGGTCGTGATGAATGCCTACTTTCAAATTCTGCAGGAGAATCCGGCCGCGTCGTACCGCAAATGCGTTGTAAACAAGAAAAGCGTCCGGGCCATACAATTCACCGACACGCGGCAAAATCAGGGCACCCCTTTACCCGGCGATAACATTGAACGCCGAGAAGCAGGTAGAAAGGACTGCGCCTCTAGCTCTGCTATATCCAGACAATACAAGGAAACATCAACGGCCGGGTCATCGGGCACCTTGCAATGTGTACTTGCATCTCGAAACTATGCCGAAATGCCTAACAGGTGGAAAGCTTGGACACGGACGCCAGCGGCCAGCCGACGTACCGATATCCCTGTGACTAAATTTCTGAACGTGGAGGGCACTTTTTAAACTTGCAGCAGACGATACCGTTGATACACCCGTAGCAGACGAAATACTCTGCGATCGTGGGCGGCGCGGACGACCCGCGAAGCAGCGGAGTGATACAAAAGTGCAGGCGAGATTGCGTGACCTATTGCCAGCATGTCATTGGCTCCGGCCACACGTAGCTTTGGCTGCGCTCAGACGGAAGCTGAAATGAAGTATAGTGTACCTGTTTCCCCCCTCACCGACCCTTTCCTCCCTAGGAAATATTTTCGGAGCAGAGCAATTTCCGGAGAACCTGTTCGGGAAAAATAGGGTTTAACTTGATTCACACGAATCATATTCAAGGTGTAAATATCCAGTTTTACCCTAAAACGAAGGATCCTATTCATACACAAGCAAGGTTTATAAATCATCTCGCTTTACCCAAAATGCACTTCATAATTTTAATATAAAAATCACAATTAACCAAAGACAGAAATAACCAACACCACCAAAAAGACAAGGCATGGTAGGTCTAAAAAGTGTATTTGCATGCAAATATGGGATACCGTATTCGCATATAAGGCGAGGTTTTTTTTCCAAAATCCGTAGTCTCAGTCATACCCGCCTCATATTCAAGGCTCAGTATAGCAATATGGCGATTTTTTTTCTTTTTCTTGGGTCCTTGAACTGCCCCCCCGCCTTATAATCGTGACCGCCTTATATTCAAATAAATACGGTACCTTGGAAGTTTTAGTAGATTGTCCATATAACTCCAATAACGAATAGAGACCCTACAGACCAATCTGTACAAAAGTAGTCTGCCATTAAATTGCAAATGCTCTTCATGGCTTAAGTTGCTCTAGGCTCTACACTTAAAACCTCGTTCGTCCGTGTTCTTTTATTTATGCGATAGCATTAACTGTCTCATGGAGCAAGCTGACATGTCTGAAGCGCAAGAACGGCAGATAGTTTCCTTCGGTTCCATTGGCTGGCGTGCGTCGACTGGGCCACTGCGCTCGTCAGTTTCCACGACTGCTCACCCCATGGCACTGCGTGTCCATCAGCACCAGAGCCGTTTATTGGGAGAGTTTGGCCATACATTGGTTTGAATAGGCGTGCATCTCGGGGCCAACCACAGGCCGCGAAACAGACCCTAGCGGTGGTCGTGTGCTTTAAATATAGGGGGATCGGTGGCCGAGTGGGCTGAAGCGCACACCCAGCTCGACGCACGTGGAGCGAAAGCCCGCACTGCAGAACCCAGGGATCCTGGGTTCGAGCCCCGCCCCTGCCCGTTTCGATCTGGATGAGCATCGTACCGGCGTGCGGTCGTGTATCACTACTGCGTGGTGCACGTTAAAGACCCCAGGCTAGCGGTTGTACTGCACTGGCTAAATTTCTCATCTACAGCGTGTGACTCGTCGCAACTTTAATGGCTGACCAACTGCATGCTGTATAAATATCCCCATAACCCAATTTGCTTTTTTTTTGCTCTAAATATACGACACGACTAATTTAAACCGTTTTAGCCTCGCTAGAATGAAAATGTATAACTCTCGGTGACTGAAAACTTGGCGCATGCAAGGTTTTCGTCACGTCCATATTCAACAGCAGAATGAACAAACGTGCGCTCCAAACAAGGGTTTGACTTGCTTGAACAGCGTCTCAGCTGAAACTCTGGGAAAGAAAGCACTGCCAAAGCCAGCGAACGAGCTGAGCGGGTTTCAATCCGCGTCTCGAGACGCTCCCGCGCTCCAGCCTTTACACTGTTTTTTTTCAGTCAGTTTCGGCTAAGATGCTGCTCTACCAAGTTGGTCCAGAGCAAACTGTCACCGAGACGCCGAGATTGAACGCTTCTATTTCACGCTTTAAATGTTTTCATTATTGCGACGTCGCGGTCTGCTGTTTGGTCGACGCTGTGTCGTCCTTTTAGTTTACGCTCTAACCGCGGGGGCAGTATTCGGCACTGGCGGCGGCCTTTGCTCCCCCATTGGCCAAACTCTCCCAATATACGGCTCTGATCAGCACGGAGCGTCCAAGTACACCAGGAGAGCACACGCGCAGACCCGTGACGAAAAGTATGCAGCAGACGAAAAAGGGAGCGGACGAGCGGCTTGCATGCTTTCGCATTCACAACTTGTAAGGAATGCTTAGGTGTACCTCGATCTTTTTGTCACGAATGACAATTGACGAGGCAGTAAGTAACGAAAAAAAAACTGAACGTTTAATATGGCGAACTTGCGCCAAAACAGAAAAGGAGCGGAAGATACCAACAGAGCGTTGTGCACGTCGAAGTCAGCGTAGCAGCAGGTTTGAGTGCAAGAGTGAAACTGATCCCGGATCGCCACGTGGAGCCCCTTATGTACATGCTTGGGCTTCTGGAACGGTCAGCGCAGAAGGTTTGGCGTGTAGAAAATTCAAACCTCGAACCAGCAACATGGCTCTCAAATTTACCAGGACGTGACATTTACAGAAATAGCAGAAAGGTGCGTCCGCTCCCAGGCACCGATCCTTGGCCCTTTGGCGTCGGAGCCAAGCACGATAACCGTTCGGTCACTGGTGCGCTTGCTCGGAGACGCGCATGGCAATATTTCAAAACCGTAGCACGAAAACCGGGAGAAAACAAAGTAGCCATGTCCACATAATCTGACTCATTTATTGATGCAGTATTAAAGTATAACAATAGAAGATATAAAAATAAGTCGCCGGTCGAGCCGGAACACGGGGAGAGGGGGGAAACATTCCACACGCACAGTCCACACAATATCCTTCCAACAGTATACCGCCTAAGAACAAACGTCACGAAAGCGTCGTGCCTCCTCCACCCCAAAAGGGGGTGCACCAACATGGCCGCCGACACTGTAGTCTCTGTTCAAAGAGGCTGCACCAATACAGCTGTCCACAGAAAACACGGCGGTTTCGCCCTCGGACAGGACCGTTCCGCTCAGAGGGGAAAAAAAAAAGGGGGAGGGCGGGCAAAACGTGAAAGAACCTTCGTGAGCAATTCGTAACCGGCGTTTTGTTTTGTCATTTGTACAAAAAAGAGCCTCTTTCGTAGTGCACAATTCCGTCGCGACCCCTCTCAATATACCGCCGTCTCGCACGAAAACGAGGCACGTCAAAAAAAAAATCAAGGCGGGGGAGAAAACAAGGCACGTAAAAAAGAAGGCGGACGCGTGGTACTTGGCAGAGGCTGGCCCTCCTAGGGCTGGCCGTCCTCCGTCAGGGACTCCTCGGGCATCGAGATGGGGCTCTCGTCGCCGGAGGCCGTTGGCACTGAGCCGCGCTTGAACATGCGGCTGGTGGCACCGCTAGAGGCACCTGTTCGCCTGCGGGGAACGTGCGGAAGAGAAACACGTCGACACAGGCGAGCACTGCGGTACAACTTCTTTATGAGACTTACCGTATTTATTTGAATATAAGGCGGTCACGATTATAAGGCGAGGGGGCAGTTGAAGGACCCAAGAAAAAGAAAAAAAAAGTCATATTGCTATACTGAGCTTCGAATATAAGGCGGGGTATGACTTTGAGATTATGGATTATGGAAAAAAAACCTCGCCTTATATTCAAATAAATACGGTAGCAAAGAGATGAAAAAGCTAGTGGTGAGTCCCTTCGTTTTAGTGTGAGCTTGGCAAGAGTTTGGTGAGAACCAAGTTAGTGAGGTGCAAGTTTGGTGAGTTCAGTGAGAATTTTGTGGGTTTAGTGAGAGGTTGGTGTGAGTTTAGTGAGAGTTTGGAGAGTTTAGTGCGAGTTTGGCGAGTCTAGTGCGAGTCTAGCGAGAGTCTGGTATGAGTCTAGTGCGAATTTGGCGAGTTTAGCAAGAGTTGGGTAAGACTAACGCGGGTTTGGTGAGGGTCAAGCGAGTGTTTGACGAGTTTAGGGCGAGCATGTTAGACCAAAACAGGTCTGCTTGCTTGTGGCACACATCTGTACGACATGCCTGCCGTTTCGTAACAACAGAATCAGATTTTTTTCGCAATTTCCTAACTTGAAGAGCAGGTTTCACAACTCCAAGGTCTTTTTTATGTTGACTTATGTGACCATTGAAAAGAAACAATTTGTAATAGCAGTCACGCCAGTTCACATTCAAACCGTGGGGAACAGGCTAGGAATCTCGCCCAGTCTATGCTCCGTGGTTCCAATATATGCACATGCAGCACAACTCAGATTGTAATACCAGTAGGACCTTTCTACAGTAACAACTCAGAGCAAAGACATGAATATGGTGAAGCAGAGGAAGTATGCTCGTGTTAACAGTAACGGTATCGTAGGTACTGGCACAGATAACTTATGGATAGAGCAACACACATTTCCTGAAATATTGACTACTATGGAGATTCTACTGTATGAAACAAGGCAAATGAGATTAAGGTTCTAATGAGGTCAAAGTGCATTCTAACCTCATTTATTGACTTCTGCTGCAACGAATTAAGGAGAGCAAAAGAAGGAACTGTGATGCGAGGGTATGCTAATTAACGTAATGTCCAGAGAGATGCCCCACCCCCCCAAAAAATAACTTACCCCTATTTCTACCTCTACCTGCTTTTTTTTAAACACCGAAAGCTAGCCCACACTTATTATTTATAGCGTTGCGATCAATTATGACCTCGGCGTAAATGCGTCTAGATAGCTATGGCAGGATATAAGCTAACATTGCTGACTGAGAAGTGCAGTTATCTTTGCTTCACTGCCCCTTGCCACGACAGATTTGGCGGGAACACAATCTAAGATAGCCTTTTTCAACTTTTCTTAATTGCACTCCGAAAGTGTATGCGCCCACTCCTTATTTCCGCCCGATTTTAGGCGGGCTGTCTCCCGGTAAATTATGGTAGATTACGATTCCACTTAACTAGTAGAGTCCATGAAGTAGCCTAAGCAGAGATTCAACTGTACTCCATCACCGGTGAGACTCTTGCATCAGCTGCACCGCAGTGAAGGTAAGATGAGTGCAGAAGGCAGTGTGTCAAACCCACCTGAGCTTGCTGCGGGCGGCGTTGAGGTCGCTCTGTAGCTTCTCGTTGAACTCCTGCACCTCCTCGAGCTCTCGCTGCAGCTTGCGCCGCTGCGCCTTCTCCCTCGAGCACTCCTCGTCCACCTCGTCAAGCTGGCGCTTCAGGTTCTTCATGCGGTTGTTCGTCTTCTCCACCTGAGGGGGGAAGAACGCAGGTGCCATGAACGTCACAAATGTGGCATCGCCGCAGAAAGATGCCCACGACGTTCCTGAACGAGGTCTGAATCCCCTACTGCACGTTTGCATAGAGTAGAGACACTGCTTCTTGTTCGACGATACTAGCTTCTGTAATACGGCTTTCATCCTCCTATCGCAAAACTAAGATTAATTTTAATTAATTTTGTTCTGACTTGATTAGGAAAGTATAATAAAGAGAAAAAGAAAAAGGTGTTTCGAGTTTTATGCAGTCCTTTTTTTCAGTTACAGTTCAAAAACACACAATTTTGCGTTCTTTTCGGGTTTTTTTTTTTTTTTTCTAATCAAGTTAACCAATACACTTGTTGAATTTATAACAATTTCCTATTGCCGTCATCATACTAAAACTACGAGAAGTCAGTGGTGTCTACACAATAAAACAGGTCCCTGCTCAAGACATATCTGACATGCTGACAGCCACAAAGCACAAACCAGAGGTTTGTGCATCTATGCTGAATAAGACAAAGCATAAATGCTCTAATCAGTTACCTCGCTCTGGAGCAGCAAGCACACAACATCGTGCCGCTGCAGACTAATCAAGGACCGAAAATGCCTGTGCTTAATCAGCGTTACCAAATTTCTTGCAATAGCAGCAGGTATAAGCAGACCATTCAGTCTGTTAGCAACAAATTTGTGCTGTCATAACGGTGCACGTAAACCGTTACAAGAGGTGTGGTAGAGCACCTGTACCGAAAAACTCTAAGATGGCAACCATTCCATATTTTCTCCGTAAACTACCTCCACCACAATGCTCCGAAACAGCAACTGTTTTGCATTTACTCAGCGCGGCACCTCCACCTGAACATTCCAGAACGGTAACAGTTTCATAATGTTCTCAGTACGGCACCTCCTCTGTAACGTTCCGATACGGCAAGTGTCTATCAGTACCTGTTCCTTGAACTGGTCGGCGTGCCGCCTCTCGTCTTCCACCTGGATCAAGGACTCCTTGAGGCGCTTCTCCATCTTGCGCACCGTTCGCATGGCCGCCTGCTTCTCCCTGCAGGGACACGGACCACTTTGGAGAACCGCAAGAGAAATACCTTCCCAAATTCAAAAGCTCGGCAACAAAAGCATCATTTTGTTTATGTAAATATTCTCATGGAGGCAATGAACAGCCACGCACACCTATTTCTTTCCATGAGAGTGAAGTTCTAAAAGTAAGAACATACAGGAAGCACACATTTAAAGTTATCCTTCCCATCCGCTAGCCTTTTAGGTGCTTTCGACGAGCACAATCACAAATAAGCCGGACCTGGTGCGACCTATTTTCGTTGTTTGGATCCATACTCTGACAACACTACGTCGAATTAATGTGCAACAAGTTACCCGACGAGGCCCAAACACCCATAGCGCGTAGAGACGGCTCCCAACTTGAAAAACGCTGCCTACGCTATGCTACATTTCACCGTAGCTCAGCAAAGGTCTAAAGTTGTGGCCGGACAGAGCGAAGCACACGACAAGGTGTCACGGCTCCGCTCTTCTCGCAGTGAGGCGTCGTGTGCTTTGCTTCGCTGCTCCGACTGACCGAAGGCTGCCGTAGTCTTCACTCTTCGCCAAACTACGCCGAAACGGAGGAAAGACGAGGACGTCTGCGGCTTCGAGAGCACCGCTTGCAACCTGCAACCAGAGTTCAGTGCGACGCTGCGGGACCTGGAGCACGTCTTCAACCAGTGCGTTTACCGAGTCCTCAAAAGTGGCGTCCCGATTTCAGCCCGACGATGTCGTAGCAGTGGTACAACAGTGGAAGGTTAAGGCAGTCGACAAGAAACGAAGGAGACGCGAAATGAAAAGCAGCAACAACGGAGGCCCTCGCGTCTGCTCACCTTTTTTGCCAGCATTCCTACGACCAACTACCAATATTGCGACCTTCGACGCCGTAACACGCTGGCCCCTAGGACGCAGTGTGTTGCCACTTCGGGACTACTTTCGGAGCATGGGAGGGTGATGGGACAAAAAACGCGCTACAGTCGTCGGCTGGGAGAACGGCAAGAGACGTCCTCCGAATGCCCGAAACCTCCAGCACGCAGCCCGCGTCTTCAGCCGTTATCGCCTCCTCGACGGCGGCCAAAGACGCGTCTCGACGCGCAGGAACAGCCAACCTCAGACTCACTGCTCAGCCTGGTCGAGCTGCTCCTCGACCTGTGCCAGCCGGCTCTCCAGCTGCGCCTGGGCACCCCGCAGCTTGGACTTGTGGGCAGACTCCACCTCCTGCAGCTTGGCGCGCAGCTCCTTCATCTGCCGCTCCTGCACCAGGGCGTTGTTCTCGAGCCGCTGGGACGTGCCCCGCTCCGCCGTCAGGTCGGCAGTCAGCTGGTCCACCTGCGCGGAGCACCGGAGCCCGGGGTCGGATCGCCGCATCGTCACCCTCCCCTTCAATGCCGACGTTGCCGAAGCGGTAAACGCACGAGGGAGAAATCTCGGCGATTTCTAAGCAATGTCATCATGAGACGAAAGCGTCACACTTTTGCAATGTGGCGCGCGACGTCAGCTCCCAGGCAGAGGGGAGGCTCGGGCATTACAAACAATCCGCGTTTCGTGGCTCGTCAGTCTGCTTTTAATATCGCATCATTGGAAGCTTCGGTGCCCAGTGTGGAAATGACTGTATTCGTCTGTGGTGGTGTAAGTGGCGTGAAGAAAGGAAACCGATAAATTCTACCGCTAGTGCCGACATCCCTCCCACCAGCACCCCGTCCGTGCAAACGACGAGGAGGGAGTTGCGCCCGTTGATGGCGTCACGCCCACCCCTCCGCAGATTTCTCCGCCGGATGAATGCCGCTCTACATTAATGAAGAGTCGAGAGACAACCGACCTGCGCCTGCATCTTGCGGTATTTTTCGTGCAGGATCTCTGCATTGCTCTGCTCCTCCTCCAGCTCCTCTTCCATGGCGTGCATCTTGGCCTCCAGCTTGCGCTTGTCCTCGAGCAGCAGGGACCTGTAGGGCACACGAGAGCCATTTTTTTTAGTCGACAAAGTTGAGAAGAACAATTAGAGGAAAGGGCTTCGAATCTCTGGCTCGGATTCCCAGCAAAGTTTTGCAGCCACTCGTTCAAACTTCGTCAGGCGACTTCGTGCCGCAGTTTTAGAGGGTCGACGTTTGGCCATAATCTCTCAACGATTGTAACGCCAAACATTTTGAGCGTGCGTGGTAGTGAAAGGGCCAATCTGCATTAAGTCGTCAGAAACAAATCACAAAGCTAACAAGAGTTTGTAGACAGAACTTGAAAAAGGAACCTCCCAAAGTGTCTCAAAATAGTAGCAGACATTTTGCCAAGCGACTTTGACAAGGGGCATTGGCAAGGGGCGTTAACAAGGCATTTCAGCAAGGGACTTGGATAAGGGACCCTGGCCGAGGGACCCTGGCCGCGGGACCCTGGCCGAGGGACCCTGGCCGAGGGACCCTGGCCGAGGGACCCTGACCGAGGGACCCTGACCGAAGGACCCTGACCGAAGGACCCTGACCGAAGGACCCTGACCGAAGGACCCTGACCGTGGGATTTTAGCTAAGGGACTTTAGCTAAGGGACTTTAGCTAAGGGACTTTAGCTAAGGGAGTCTGCAAGCTTTCTTAATTAAGCCTCTTGGCAAAATAGTTGCTGTCACTCATAAACTTTTCAAACTAGCCTGCAACATTCCTGACATTCATCAGAAGGAAGCGGTGCCTCGAAAGAGGGGACCTTCCAGTCTCACCCCTTGGAGGCGGTGCTGCCGATCTCGTCCTGCAGCTCGTCCCTCTCGCCCTCGGCTGTTCTCCGAGCCCTCTCCGAGGAGGCCAGGTCCTCCTGGAGTTGCACCAGCTCCGCCTCCAGACCCTTGGCCCGCTTTTCAGCCTCCTTTGTCTGCGCCTGGAGCTCCTCCCGCGACGACCTTGCCTCCTCGGCTTCCCGCTGCCAGTCCTTGGCCTGCACCTAGAAACCGAGGCGGGCATGAGGACAGAGGTGCTTCGGTCGTGGCGACTATGGACAATGTGCCATCGTTCCGCAAGTTTTATTCTTCGTTATTTGTCACCAGAAGGGTTCTTGCCTAGAAATGCTCTAGCCTAGAAACGTTCTAGCCCAAGGAAGTTCTACCTTAGGAAGGTTCTAACCTGGAAAGATTCTACCTAAGGAAGGTTCTACAACTCTACAAACGTTCTACCCTAGGTTCTGCTTTACATGGAGTCTACTACTACACACAAACTCTGAACGGCAATGGTGTAACTCATAGAAAGGAATTGTGGCAGCTTGAACAGTTGCGCAATGCGATGGTCCCAGCTCCTCCAGATGCTCAGCGCAGCCCCTCCCCTGCTTACCTGCAGCCTCTTGAGCTGCCGAAGCGCCTCCTCCTTGGCCTTGCCAAGGGAGTCCATCTGGCGGTCTGCTTCCTGGAGGTCAGACTCAAGCTTCTTGCGCAGTGTCAGCGCCGCAGACCTCTGCTTGCGCTCCTCGTCCAGTTCGGCCTCGAGGTCGCGAACCTGGTGGCCCCCCCAATGTTCACGTCAATCAAGGTACGGTTAGCCAGCGTGCTGCTGGCGAAGGGTTCACTTTGCTTCTCCTGTCGTGCAATAATTTACACAAAAATGACTGGCTTTGAAGCTTTGGTTGCAGGGTAAAAAAACACCCCAACAGGAAGTGTCGATCAGAGGACGCCCAGGCAGTGTATAGCCGATGAAGGGCCGACCTTGCTTTTTCCGCCCTGCTATCAGTGCAACACAAATAAATGACAGGCTTCAAAGTCTCGGTCGAAGAGTACAAGAAACACCAACAGTGAACGACGGTCAAGAAATGGCTAGCAGGCATGTTGCCCAACAAAAAACAGACTTTGCTTTTCCCGCTGTGTAATCACAGTGACAAATGAACGGTTGCAGAGGCTGACCAAGAGGGAGTAAATCAGTGATCGGCCGAGAGGCTGACAGTGAAAGTCGGTCAAGGAATGGCTAACTAGTGTGTCGCCAACCAAGGGCCGATTTTGGTTTCCCTGCCATGCAACTGCAACGCAAAATAAATCACTCGCTTCAAAATTTTGGTTGTCAAGGTTGGCCAATGCAAAAGTTTACCAAGGTTGTCGACCTTTACCTCTAAAATGCATAAAATGCGGGAGAGATTATTTAAATCTGTTTGGAAGACATCAAGCAATCGGAAGTTTCTTGCAGTAGAGAGTTCCGTTAAAATGCGTTCCGCACTAAGGATAAAAGGGGATTTTCTTAGATTGCTTTTTTCCTCGCCACGCTCTTCGCAACGAAAACTAAACTACTGCTCATGCACGTCGCTATCCTCGCCTGCAGGGATCCGGACCTTGTAGTCAGGTGTGGAGAGCGTTGCAGGACGTCGGAAACGACCCGAGAAGCCTCCCCAATCGTAAACGAAGGGTGACTCGTCGGGATCACCGACCTGCTTGGCGAGGGCCCTCCGCTTCTCCTCGGACTGCTCGTCCCTGGCCTGCAGGTCCCGCTCGTGCTGGGCCTTGAGCGCCTGCAGGGTCACGTCCAGCCGGAGCTTGGCGTCCTCGGCCAGTTGCAGCTCGTCCTCCAGCTCCTCCAGACGAGTCTTCTGGGCCGCCAGCTGGTTCTCCAGGGACCGCTTGGCCTTCTCGAGGTCGTGCACCTGAAGGGAATGGAGGCAGAGAGGAGTGAGCGGCCGTCGAGTGGACAGGGAAGAATGTCCGCGGGCTCCAGATTATGGTCGTAGTGAGGCGGTCGCGCTCTCAATCTTTCTGCACTCGAGCTCTGTAAGCTCCGACGTAAAAGGAAGGTGAGCCCCTACTTGGCACGCCCGCAACTCGGCGCGGTCACAGCTCGGCCTGCTATGACCGAGGGCCGAGCGAGGGCACGAAGTTTCTCTATTTATTTCGCGGAACACGGCCTTCATAGGAGAAACCTTGAAATGCTCTCGCATTTCACATAACGCAGTCCTGTTCTTTTTTAACGTAAGCTTCGACAGAGATTTATTTTTTGGTGGGTCAGAATAAGAAAAAGGGGACGCCGAGACTGCCAAATCTGTGAAAGAAATTAAGTCCAAAACAAAAACCAAAAAACCCCCAATAAACCCCCAAAGTCGAAGCAAAATAAACCCCGAAAGCAGGAAATCCCGGTTCCAACAGTCAACGCGGAGTGGCTGCACTCACGTTGCGGTCGGCCGTGCCCTGGGAGTTCATGAGGTCGTCCAGCTCCATCTGGAGCTGCTTGCGGGACCGCTCCAGCTCCTCCAGGGAGTCCTGCCGCTCCTCCAGCTCCCGCACCAGGGACAGGATGCGGGTCTCCTTCTCCCTCGACTCGCGCTCCGCATTGTCTCGCTCCGCTGCCAGGCGCTCCGACACCGCCTTCTCTTCCGCCAGCAGCTGGTCAAACTTGCGCTGCTTCTTCTCTAGTTCCACAACCTAAAACATATAAAGCGGAAAAAAAAAAATGGCCATTACATACATAGAATATCACGTCTTCAAACTGGAGCCACTGATTCTTCCCAGGATAAACACACTCACAAGCTTCATCTCAGAACCGCATCATGGTACTGTATCGACAGCATCAAAATGGCAACTTGGTGCGAATCAAACCAAGAAGGCAAAGAGGCAGCATTTTGTTTTCTGCTGTCTAGATTACGACCAACTTGAACAAACAGCCCCCGAAAAAATAAATCTGCCTATCACCTTCTGACTGGTTGCAAACCACCAACACAACAGCTCCCGTTTTTTTTTTTTTTTTTTTTTTTTTTTTTTTTTTTTTTTTTTTTTTTTTGTGTATTTTTATTTGTTGGCTTTAGGGCAACCAACATGGGAATCAGAAAATGCGACTGATCCAAATTACGAATGCGATGACACCCTGTTCATTACGTGGTAGCCTTAATAAAAAGCAGCAGGTGTTTAGAGACACGTCGAAAATTAAGACGCCGCATAAGAAATTACATTGCGAAGGATATTGAGCTCGGGAAAGGCTACGGGCCTCAAGGCGATATTGAAAGCATTAAATGAACCAAGCACCAAAGTCTGCACTTATACGTATTTGAGTTTTCTGGATCCAGTCACACACAAAAATTTTAAGTCGGGCAAAAGAGAAAAACCTGCCGTAAAAATACCGAGCATCCGCCCATTTTACGATAAGTGCCCACCCTTAATTCTGCAAAATTTAGAAAACATACAAAAGACATATCTTTACATATTTTTGACCTAACACATCTCACAGTTTTACACAATTATCTCCAAATTTTGAGTGTGTGCTTGCTCGGGGTTTGGTATAATGTTTTACATTACTTTCTTTCGGTCCTACAACAGTATCGCTACAAACATTCCCCGACGTCCATTTTCAAGACCTTTTACAACAAGAATGCTTCACCTTTTTCAAAGAATTTACAAAGGAGGCAGGAGGATCCTCGCACTACACTTTTCCAAACCCGGACAGGTCTGATCTTCTCGCCGCAAAGCACCACTTCGAAAGAAAAGGGAGAGACGTCCGTCACCTTGGTGCGCTGGCTCTCGAGCTCGACATTGACGTCCTCGACCTCGGCCTGGAGCTTCCTCTTGGACTTGTCCAGTTTGTCCGCGAGCCCCTGCAGCTCCTGCAGCTGCCTCTGCAGCGCCTCAGAGTCCTTCTGGCTTTTCTTGCGGGCGTCCTCCGCCAGGGCCAGCTGCTCCCCTTCCTCATCGGCCTTCTTCTTCGCATCGGCCACCTGTGCAATGTGCAAAGGGGACGGCATCGTCGGCGAAAGAGGCAGGCGCCGAGGCAAACCAGACCGCGCATCGGCTCGTTGCGCGTCGGGCGGACAACTACGGGCTTTGATTTCTCAATTGGCTGATCGGAGAGTGCAAGCGCGAGCATTTCTGACAAGAGCAGAAAGTTTACTTAGGCCAGGGATGGGCTGTATTTCAAGTACAAGTATTTGAAATACGTATTTTAAATACTTTGTGTATTTTGCATTTGTATTTAATTACAAATTGGGTAATGTATTTTACGTGTGCATTTAAATACTAAAACATGGGTATTTCAAATACAATTGTAATTAAATACAATTTTGAGGACGAAAATACATTTCTCAAATTTATTGTCACGACTAATTTTGCTCATCCTAAGACGTGTCCAGAGCAGGAAGAAAACTACATTCTGCACCGAATGCAGTGTCTCTCAATCAAGCACAGGGGTTTAGTGACTGTGATTACGGTGCTAGTCCAGGGCAAGAATAGTGACGAAATCGATGTTCACAGGCAGACTGGCTAAATAAGTGCCTGTGACAACTTGTGATGCTTTCCAGCCTGATTTCCATCCACAATTTTGCCTGGAACATTCTGAATGCGCGGGTCGTCAGATTTTCGTAACTGGTGCGAGTTGCAACAATAAAACATTCTCTGGCTAGTTCTGCACGTCTTGGTTGTCTCGGTTCTTTGTTGGTCTATAGCAAAATGTAATCGACAAAAAAAGCTGCTAGAAGCTCTGTACTTTTTCACCTATTACCTCCAAGCTGATTATGTTTTCTTGTGATTATATTTCTATTACGTTACTAGAGCCTCGCACACTAACTTCCGAATGTGCGATGCAAAATTAAAATGAGACACCCGGAAACCCGTTGCAAGTGCCCTGAAGTCGCTGACGCAAATTTTGAGGATTGTATTTGGAAAAGTATTTGGAGGAGACCAAATACATTTGGTTATATTTGTATCTTGTACTTAAATGCTTTTTAGGAAATGTAATTATATTTGTAATTAAAGCAGCTGTGCAACGATATTCAATTGGAATGTTTTTCTCTCTACACGAGCTTACTGGCACACCTGGGACTCAAGGATACTCACACGCAACGCCATTGGCCAAGAAACTCCTTTGTTGCGGTGTAATTTCAAGGACAAAAGCGATCATTTTCATTCAATCTCTCCTTTGCAAAATTTGATGACGTAACTCGGGGATCGCAGTACACCCAAGTGACGATATTTGAATGCGGTTCATAGATTGGACCCGAGCATTGCGTGGGCACTCGACTTGGGCTCGTGACAATTGCTAGCTCGAGAAGCATTCGGGTTGTGACCCGTGTCCAATCGCTGCAACGACGACAACAGCCGAGCCATAACAATGTCTGGAACTCAGCGCGTGTCCTGCGCTTTGCCAACCCCAGCGCGTGGCTATGATCAACACTGGCGGCATATAATCGGCTCCAGATCACGTGGCCGCTTGTTCTGGCTGCGAGTTGAGGGGGTGAACGCTGCTCGTTTTTCTTCAATTTTTTTCTGGGACTTCTATTGCGTGGGGTGAAAAACGAACGCGTGTTTCATAGGTCATTAACGTTAGGGATCCGTTTTAAGCGGTATTTGCGCAGAGTACAAAAATTGTTGCGTAGCTCCTTTAAATACATTTGTGACAAAGTATTTTTTATTTGTATTTCGATACATATTTGCACGTATTTTGCCCATCCCTGACTTAGGCTAATGCAATCGTAACAGACCCTTTCCGAAATCCCATCGGGTAACATTAGCAGTCACCCGACGGGACTTTAGCGGCATTCGGCAGGACAAATCGGGCGTGCGTCATTGTCTTTTAGATGTTGTTTCATACTTACTACGCGACCATTTCAAAGCTACCGGCAGAGGCACGTGGCTCGGCCTTGCAGTTCGTTTGCACACACTCTCGAGCGAGCGAGCGAGCGAGCGAGAGAGAGAGAGAGAGAGAGAAAAAGAAAGAAAGGTCGCGCGAATTCCACACGCTCAGGTCGGCAACCCCGACAGCGTTGCACACCAACTACGAAATGTAGTAGAGTACTTATCCAATTCCAAAATTTTTCTTTTTTTTAGACAAATATACCTAAGTGCTGCTAGCACGCCAGAATCTGATACAGAACCAGAATGTTAGGATCGGCCAATACGATACGTCCGACGTGGGGGCGGCCCGAGACTTGCCTGCTGGGTGAGGGCCACGATCTGCTTCTCCATGTTGCGCTTGGCCTCCTCCTCCTCGTCCAGCTGTTCCTGGAGGCTCGTCCGCTCTCCCTCCAGCTGACGCAGCCGGGAGCTCAGGGCCAGCTTCTGCTTCGTCTCTTCTTGGAGCAGGTCCTGCATGAGGGGAACGCGTAAGAGACCAACGAGCCCCGGCCTCTCACGAGTTGGAGGGCGGGCCTTGCTTCGGAGAACGCAAGAATTGCCGCGCCCTCGCGACAATGCTCGCGGCGAGAGATCGATTTCGGTGTTCTGTCGATGCGAGTCCATCTGACCAGAGTGTTAGAATGTGGGGCGGCCTTCGTTTCTGGAAGCCAACAGATCACTGTTCATACTCCCAGGTCCCTTTAAAGAAACCCACTGAAAAGAAAAAAGAAAACATTTCTTCAAAACAATCTGGTCGAGTCAAAAAATAAACTCTACGCAAACAATAAACAAAAATTAACTTTTTTCAGAGCGTTTCATTGACGGCGCGAGAAGCGATCTAGTCGGTAGTCGCCTCCTTTCCACTTGTTGTCTCTCTTGGCAGTTCGGGCACTTGGAGGAGAGCTGGATCGGCTTGGCCATCACGTTGAGAAGCGTGTGCTTGACCTTTTCGTTGAGGTAAAAAGAGTGTATGACCATTCTGCGACGTCATGAACTTTGCGCGGAGAATTTAAAATAAATCTCGCGCCGTCAATATTGCTCTAAACAAAAACTTTCAGCCTTTCCACTCTGGTAAAGACGAAAGACCAGCAGAGCTGTACTATGGTGGGACGACCTCAAGGACAATGCCTAGAGGACGATGTCTAGGATGACCTCGAGGACGACTTCTAGGACGACCTGTAACACAACGCCTATGACGACCTCAGGGAGGACGTCTAGGACGATTTTAGAGAGGATGTCTAGGACGACCTTAGGGACGACGTCTAGGACAACCTCAAGGACGACCTCTAGATCAACTTCTAGGACGACCTCGAGGTCAATTCTAGGACGATGTCTAGGACGACCTCAAGGATAACTTCTAGGACGACCTTGAGCACAACCTCTCGGACATCAGGGACGACGTCTAGGACAACCTCAAGGATGACTTCTAGGGCTACCTCAAGGAAGACACCTAGAGAAATTCAGCCTTCCCACTCTGGTGAAAACCAGAGTGGAAAGGCTGGAAAGGTTACTGCCATCTATCAGTGACGGCGGCAACCAGCAAGCCAGTTGTCTGGTTGTTGCCGTCACTCATGGATGGCGGTAGCTGTTCAGAGTTTTGCGTCGATATTTATTTGTCTACGGACACAAAACTGGGGAAACTAGCCCTTAACAGCTCCGCTGTAAAAATTTTCCACATAAAACTTATTTGACATGCGTGTCCCAACCAGACTGTTAAAAAAAAAAAAGAAACATTTTTCTTTTCAGTGGCCTTTAAAGGTATAACTTCATAAAAAAAAACTGCATGTTTTTAGTAAAAAAAAATTTTTTTTACTACATAGGCACGGTAAGTGCCAGTTTGACGATGTATATGGGTCTTATGGCACAATGTCAACGGAGTCTACGCTGCTCCAAACTTGACTGAACAGTAAACACACGTGGGCAAATATTTCACAAAAGAAAAAATTTACGAGCTATTTAGTGTTAGCAGGGAAAGCTAGAACGCAGTCAAATGAAACTAGGAGCTCAAATGCAATTGGCAGTACTATACACATACCTCAACTTCGCTTCACTATTATTATCTTCACTATAAGGTGGTTCTACCGAAACATAAAAAATAAGCTCTTGAGAAATAAAAAAAAATTATAAAGACAAACAAGAAACAGTGACATGACATTTCTACTGCCGCAAACAAACAGGTAGTACAGTCGAAACTCTAATTCAAACTCTCTTAATTCAAACTTGCGATAATTCAAACTAACATGCAGGTCCCATACTATGTGTCTCTATGGGAGGTAACTCCCGGTAATTCAAACTGCATTATTCAAACAAATTTTCGTTCCCCCTCGAGTATGAATTAACGAGATTCGACTGCATCAACCTTCAACCTCTAATCGGTCAACCATCACCAGGTCGAGCAGATGCCAACACACCTGGACCTCTGCCAGCTGTGACTCGAGCGTCTGGGAGCTCTTGATGGACAGGGAAGCCCGCGACTCCAGCTCCTCCAGGGCCGTGCTCGCCTGGTCGTACTCCCCTTGGAGCCGGGTACAGCGCTCCACGGCGTCGCTCCGGGACCGCTCCAGCTCGGCCAGCTTCACAGACAGCTCCTGGAGCTGGAACTCGAGGGCCTTGCGCCGGCGGTCAGACTCCTGCCGCGCCGAGCTCAGGGCCTTGATTTCGTTCGCCATGTCTACGTTCTCAGCCTCCAGGTTGCCCTTCTGCTTTTCCAGCGTCGCCTTCGCCTGTTGGGACCCCGCCGAGACGGGATGTAAGTCGGCAGAAGGTGGTCCACGCAAAGAGAGAGGTCGGCAACTGACCGGTAAGACATGCAACTTGACGGAAAACTGGCTGTGCACCAAAGAGGCGTTGGCAACTAACTGGCAATACACATAACTCGGCAGGAGACGGGCTATGTGAAGGAGAACTTGCCAGATGTGTACCTTGGCAGAAGGTGGGCTACATGACAGATAACGAAAACTGGCAAGATGTGCAACTAACTTGGCAGAAGGCTGACTACACACGAGACTTCGGCAACAAACTGACAAGGCGTGCAACTAACTCGGTAAGAGACTGGCACAGAAGATAGGTCGTAAACGCACTGGCAAGAAGTGCAAGCCAGCAGAAGACGGGCTACATGTTGGAGAGATGTCGGCAACAAACGGGCAACAGTCCCCGTGCTTCTCTAGCATTGCTTCTGTCTGTTGCCCCGAGAAGGAAGGTAGAATTTGAAGCATCTTCGAGATACAACGGCGACTCATATCTCGACACAAGCTTCCACGAAGCATAGTGCCCCGTTTACCGCGTTGCAACCCACCTTCTTGACGTTGTCGAGGTTGTCGTTGACCTCCTCAATGGCCTGGGCGTGCTTCTGGCGGAGCTCGGCCACCTGCAGCTCGTGGCTCTGGGCCTCCTCCTCCAGGGCCCGCTTCAGGCCCACCACCTCCTGTTCCCGCTGCTTCTGCAACTCGCGCTGCGTCGCCGTCGTGTCCAGGGAGTCCAGCAGCTCGTTCTTCAGGGCCTCCAGTTCCTGCAATTTGTTGTCCCGTTTAGTCGTACAGTTTCGCTGTGCCCAGTCTCTCAATGAAAGAGGTATGGTCTCCAACAGAGTGAAAACAGCAGGCCGCGTCTTTCTAACGCACTTCTTCCGGCACGCGTTAAGTGCCCTGTGCCGTGCTTGGGCTGCGCATGCGCACTCGAGATGCATGAGACCTTGCAAGCGTTGCCGAAAGTAGGAAGCTCGCGCCGGGATAACCGAAGCTTCTCCCTGTAGGCTATCAAGTATGTTGTCGACTAGTAAGTCCGTAAGCAATGTGTCTGCCACATCGTGCATTTCAAGTGGCGTAGTTAATCCAATCAACCAAAAAAGAGCTGCATTTGTATCAATCTAATCTTCAATGCAGAATTGCAATGCCACAAGAAACCATAGGTTTTCCCGTATCTTTTTTTTTTAGCCAAACTCCAAATAACTTGTGAAGGTACAGCACAGTTTGAAGTCATGAGTCATGCGACACGACAGCACAGTTTGAAGTCAAGATGTCATGTGACGTCACGTCACATGGCATTGTGTGATGACACCGTGACGTTACGTGATGTAGTCTCACGGTGCAACGACATCAAGTGACGTCACACAACCTAGTTATGTGACCCAATGTGACACGACACCACAACCTCACGCTGAGAGTCATGTGATGTGGTCATGCAATGTCGTGTTATCCAGTTCTGCTGTCAAATTACCCAACTTGCGTCGCATCGCACAACATGCTCACATGACCTGACATTACAACTCCACACCACGAGTCCTGAGACACCTCGATGTCACATGACACCACCCTGCACTAAGAGTTGTGCGACATCATGCTGTCACGCGACCCGACAAAAGAAACAAGATCCAAGTTGGAGAGGATCCCTCCCCGGGCCGCCCACCTCGTTGAGGTCCCTCTTCTGCTTCTCCGACTTGGCCCTGGCCAGCTTCTCGGCATCCAGGTCCTCCTGCAGCTCGGCCAGCTGGGCCTCCAGCTCCCGGAAGGCCTTCTGGGCCTGGCCCTTGGCCGCAGCCTCCTCGTCGCACCTCAATAGGGCCTGGGCCACGTCCTCGTCCCGCTTGGCCAGCTGCGTCTGCAGCTCCTCCACCTGCAGCTTCTTCTCCGCCAGCTGCTCTCGGGCGTCGTTCAGCTCCGTCTCCAGCCGCCGCTTGGCCCGCTCCAGCTCCTGCCGCATCTGCACAGGCGGAGGGGTTGTACCAACCGCAGTGAGAGTTGGCTCCTTTTGGGGACAGCCCTGTCCTCTAGGGGCGTACAGAGTTCACAAGCGAGCAATTCCATCAAAGAAAGTCTTCGTTCGTGCTTTCGAAGGAAAACAAAAAAGTATCAGACACTCACCTTCTTCCATATCTCTCAATGAGACGGTTAACAACCAAAACATAAATTCTCGCTTTTTTTTTTCTTTTATAAAGCGAGGAAAGGAAATTGGACCATTGGTTAATGCAGCAATTGATGCTAAGAATTGACACTCAAATAACCAATTCAATTTCAAACCCAGGCTGGAGCAAAAACTTAAAAAAATTTCACCTTCGTAAATCACTGTTGCATTCTTTCAAGCCGCTCCTTCAGCACCACTAACGAAGGGTCTGTACATATGTCCGAGTAAAGTTTAAAACCGCGCTCAGCAAACCAAGTCCGGCAACTTTAAACCACAGGCTGTCGCTCCGCCCAAGGGTGACGCAGTTTCCAAACACCGCCTCGGAGGTTAGAATCGTTAAAAAATTATTAAATGCAACATCCCTATAATGCATAGAACGCAATATATCGGGAGAGATCATTCAAATTCGTATAGAGAAGGGAAACAGTCGTTCTGGGGAGCAAAGAACATTGTTTACGAATTTACCCACTGAATTTAACGAGGGAATTGGCAAAACACGATACAACCTTGCGCGAAATCTTGCCGCTAAATGAGGGGGGAAAGTTGCCCATATGGCGATATCGAGTGCAATTTCCCCACTAAATTAAGCGGGGAAACTGATGTCACGCGACTCGACGTCACGGGTTTGAGTTGTGGCGTCCCGCAATACCATGACATCACGCAACATCAATCTCCACGCCAAATCTAGCCAGAAAATACACGGACAGACGAACGGACAAATTGCAAGAAATAGGGGGTTCCGTTAAAAAGCATTCCACGCTTTAAAAAAAACTCAACGGGGGAGCAAAGTTGAATTCGGGGCATCATAGCACCAACCCTACGAAGGACATCTGGCATGACCCGGCGGAGGACAGAGGATTAATTTCGACCACCCGGAGACCTTTTGACGTGCAACCGAAATCTCGGCCACACGACACGACGCCTTTGCCAGAGAACCCGGACTGTGAGCACATCAGCCGGGATTCAAACCTGACACCCAGAGATCCGTAGGCCGACACTTTCTGGAACTCAGAGACACCGAGGCACCGAGGGTGCCACGGAAGGAAGCCCCACCTGCTGTTCCCTGCGCAGGCGCTCCTCCAGGTCCGAGATGCCGGCCTCCTGCTTGGCCTTGAGCTTGCCCAGGTGCTTGGCCTTCTCCTCCTCCTCGGCCAGGGCCTGGGCCAGCTCCGCCTGCCTCTCCTCCAGGGCCTTCCTCTCTTTCGCCAACTTGGAGCTGCCGTCCTCCATGACCGCATATGCCTCCTCTATCTTCTTCAGCTTGCCCTCCAGCGTGTACTTCTCGATTTGCAGCTTCTGCCTTGCACCCTCTTCCTCCTCCAGCCTGGGAGAAAGGGAAAGGAGGGCGTGGGTCAGAGGCGGCACGGCAAACATGCAGACTTCACGCAGATGCTGCGTCAGTCGAACGGCCGGAAAGCCGTTCCACCGACGCGGCGGAAAAAGGACGCAAGTTAGAGCCGTGTCCTCGCAAATAAACGCAAGGTTTCCCCGAATAGTTCCCCAACAATTCCTAGGACACTTCGGGGATCCCCAAGTTTCCCGACGAGGGTTCTCGTTACCACCGGGTAGAGAGGGAGAAGACGGCCACTCACTGCTCCTCCAGGTCCTGGATGGTGACCTGCAGCTTCTTCTTGTCCTGCATGAGGGCCTGGCAGCGCTCCTCCTCTTCCTCGACTCTTCCCTCCAAGTCGTGAAGGATCTCCTCCAGCTCCTGCTTGCGTGTCGCCAGCCGCATCCGCATCTCCTCCGCCTCCGCGCACAGCTCAGTCTCTGCCTGCAGTTGCTCCTGCAGCGTCACCTTCTCGTCCGTTGCCTGCAAAGGAGACGCCCACGGGAGAGGTTCGGTTGTCGTGCCGAGCAAACCGAAGACGTACGCAGACACAATGACGACAACCTTTTCTCGGAGGCTCGAGCAACATTCTGGGGTGCCACACGGGGCTGGAACGGATGCGGCGCTCTGCGCGCTCTGCTCTCCGTCACCCTTTACTCTGTTTTCTTGTTTCACATTTCCCCAGTTTGCCGTTTACCTCGGCGGAGAAGGGAACGCAAGGGACTCCATGCGACCCCATGTAGGCTTGTGTGCTTTCGGCACCGCAGCCTTCGTAAAAAGCGTGGTCGGCCTCCGATACACTTCTAGCAATCTGGTTAGAAATGAGTGTATTTCAGCCGTTACCGCAGTAAACTTAGATAAAAGCGACAATTCGAAACAAGCAACTTCGTTATAACGAGGGATTACTGCAGCCGAAGAGTCGTTACACTAGGGCTTATCTAGTGGTTCTACCCGTCCTGTAGTGGAACCCCGCAACATGCCCCTGCCCACACCCCCACCTGCTGTAGGCTCCTCTCGAGCTCCTTCAGGTCCATCTGGGTCTTCTCCATCCTGTCCCGCATGGCCTTCAGCTCATCCTCCTTGGCGTTCAGCTTCTCCTCCTGCTTCGTCACCTGCAGCAGCGGCTTCACCTGCACGCGCAAAGGATGTCCCTCCTTGGTCAGCGTCTCTCGGCACATGAAGTTGTTTACTTTGGTGCAAATGAGTGTCAGTACAAGAAGAGTATGGTCGGGTAGGGGTACCAAAGTTTTCAGAAAAAATTACTCAAGGGATCCTATCATTACCCTCAAGTGATTAAGTGATTCAATGAAGATAACATGAAAGCCAAGTCCTTTGAAAAGATAAAAAAACTGAGAAACTAAAAAAAAATAATGGCAAATTATGAAAGTAAAAAATTTTCTTTGTTGATTTGTTTCATGTGATCTTTTTTTCTTTTGATTGACGAGTGCCATGCCTCCATAATTTGAATGAACAAACAATGCTTTGTCAGTTTATGAAATGATGGCAGCATTTCGCGAGTTACTAGTTGCTTCAGTTTTTCTATCGTCTTGTATGTTGACTTCACTGTACTTTACGTTCATAGTCCTAGAGTGTCAAAGAGAATCAATAAATTAAGAAAATTGATTAAGCACTAATGTGAAACCGCTTTTTTTTTCTACCAAAACATTGCCTGCTTGGCTCAGGAACAGCCTTCCCCCACTTTTGCCTTTCTCTTATTTATGAAATGTTCACAAACTCATTCCCAAATTCACATTTAATAATCATTTATACCCCACAAAACATTGAAGAGTACAGCTAGATAGTATACTTTCTCGAACGGGACGTATACCTGGCAAAAGATCGTAAAGACCAATAGCTAAAACTATTCTATGCAATCCTGAATTCCTATTCAGTATAGCTGCCATAGACGTTAGAGGAGGCAGGGGCGGGAGACTTGCCTTTGTGTAGAGTCGCCACCAGGCCCAGTTGCGGAGCTTGAGGTAGGAGGCGCAGTTCCGCTGGATGATCCGCATGGCGTTGAGCTGCTGCATCCGCTTCTGGTAGTTTCTGCATCATCGATGAGAAACTCCCGCTCATGCACACATCGACACAGATTAGCTGCGGCAAAAAAATGCTACGTGCAAAATGCATTCTACTTGGGTAAAACTTGGTCGCGTCAGACGGACCGGCAAGTTTCACGGCGGTAGCCGTTAGTGCCCCTTTCCAAAAAAAAAACGTCGATGTTCGGACGCAAAAATTTGAGCGATCATGAGGAAGGAGTGCTCGCCCCCTCGCAGTCGTTCCTCGCAACACCCCTCGGCTTTCGGGTCACAACTAGGGATGCCGCGAACTTTTTTCGAATCGAAGTTTCGATGATCGAATCAAGCGGTTCGATAGGTTCGAAAGAGTTCGATTTTTCTACATCGTAAAATTCGACGGAAGTCGAATTTTCGAACTTGTTGAGCTAAGAAGTTCGACGCTTTTCGAACCGTCGAAGTTCTTACGCTAAAAAATTCGATCTTTTTCGAACTTTCGAACTTATTGCGCTGCAAACTTCGATGCTTTTCGAACTTCCGAACTTGACTGACCAAAAAATTCGATGAATTTCGAACTTTCGAACTTATTTATCAAGAGGAGTCGAAAAGTTTCGAACTTTCGAATCCTGAAAAGTCAGAATATCGACGAACTTCAAACTTTTAGGGTAAAAGTTCGACGTTCCTCGAACTTCGAAAGACTAGCGGACGATTTCATTTGAACTCGTAGGTTTTTTTTTTGGTTTTTTTTTCGAACTTTTACAACGCGGTGCTGCGTTCCTTACGAAAGACAATGGCGTTTGTTTCAATGTTCTGGCATGCTTAGTTTTAAAGAAATAAATTTCCGAAGGGGCGAGGAAGGACGACGGGTTTTTGATGATTATCGTTTGTGCCAGATTTGAAGCGCGCTGTAGCCGAAGCTATTGGTGGTAGAGATGTTATACTTTTCTTAAGAATGATCTATGTATAGCCTAGGTAAGTGCCGTCTTAAGATGTGATTATTGTTATTCAACGTGAGTTTCAAAGAAATGTCCAAACATGTATCTACATGCAATTATGCCCTACACTTGATATTTATTTTCGTCTAAGTTGTTTGAGGTATCGCATTTAAATTAACACCACAGACAGTACATATCATTGCCATCTGCAGAATACAAAATAATGTATTTATTGTTTTTCCGCGTTAAGGAATAAATTAACTCGTGGAGAAGATTTCTAATAGTGCTCAATTCAGCACCGTCATTAAAAGAAAACTTTTTTTTTTTTCGCTTCACGATTCTGGGACGTGTTTCCTTTAGCCTGTACACATTTTGGTAAAAGAAACTTGTTTCGAAGTTCTGAACCTCTGAATACGTAAGAATGCAACACCTCCGGCGAACTCTTGATAGTTTTTTTTTTCTCCAGCTTTTTATCCCCGCATTTATTCTTTTTTTTTTTTACTATTAGCACAGGTATTTAGGTCGAAAAGACATAGCTTTGAACTTCTGACCACTAAGCATGTTGTCAGAAGGCACTACATGCACTAAGCATGTAGTGCCTTCTGACAACGAGTTTCTAACAATGACCATCTACGCAATCGTTTTAAATAATTTCAGATTAAAATAAGCTCGACCACGCCCTCTTTCCCCGTATTGTTTTCTTTAACAGTCCGAAATATCTGGAAGGGGGGGGAGGGAACTAAAATCCCCCCCCCCCCCCCCCCCCACACACACACACACACACACACACTTGTATGGTAGAACGCTCCTCGACCTCGAGTTGTGTCGGCTTTTTGCGGGGCGATTCCTCCGTCCCAGAAAATAAACCTCCCGGACAATTACAAACTTAAATTACTATATGCCAGCGTCACTCGGGCGGCGTTCGATCGGATTACTACTACCAGCGTGCAAGGGGTAGCAAGGTAGTTTGCCAGGTCGCTTCAAGGTTTTTCTGAGCCTCAACCTCGTGCTCGTCCCTGGCCGTTTCGAACTGGATGAGTCTCGTAAAACAGTGTGTTCGTGTGATCACTACTGCGTGATGCAGGTTAAAGACTCTCTCCCCCCCCCCCCCCCCCCCCCCCGGGGCTGGCGGTCACAATTACTGATCCATGGTCACACGTCACTCTGCACTGGCAAATATTCCAGCAAATCCGGGACGCTTGTCGTCTCATTTAATTGCCTGACCAACTTCGCAGAATCTAGATATCACACCCTAACTTTTCTAAATTTGATTTTGTGAAAACCAGAGAGTCGTGAAAACGTTATTTGAAACAAAGTGTGGAGGAACTTGAAAACCGGACTTTAAACTTTGAAAACTTGGACTAGAAAGGAATTCAAAATCCTCGAAGTTTTTTTTTCGAATTTAGCGTTAAAAGAGAATCGAAACAATCGAACTTTTCGAACTTTATGCAGAAAGAAATTCGAAATCTTCGAATTGTTCGAACTTCATGTCTATAAAAATTCGAAGCGTTCGAAGTTTTCGAATTTTATTCCCAAAGAATTTCGAAATCTTCGAATTTATCGAACCTGAAGTAAAAAAATATTCGAAATATTCGAATCCGAAATTTTAGAAACCGTGAAAGCTTCGAAATTTTCGAATTCGAAACTCTACTGTGATCGAAAGTTGCGAATTTTTCGAATTCGAACCTCGGTCGGTACGAAAATATCGAAATTTTTCGAAATCGAACCTCAGTTCGCTTCGTAAATATCGAAACCTTTCGAAATCGAACTTGGGGTGGTTCGCGACACCCCTAGTCACAACACCCCTCGGCTTTCGGGTAGGCGGGAAACCGCAACTCGCCCGACCACGGCGTCTTTTTGGGGACCCTCGTTTCCCCAATAAATGCCGCTGTAAACAGAGATCCTTGCGTCGGCATGGCGTCGACAAGCCCGACTCGGCGACCGCTCTTGCAGGTGGCCCCGGACGTAAAGGTACATAATCCCCACGGGACGTGAGAACGCTTTGAAGGCCCAGGAAACCAAACAAACATTCTGTAAGTTCTGCTTTTCAGAGCTGCGGTCCAAAGCGGTCCAAACGAGTGCGGATTTCGCCCGAGCCAGCCGAAGGCACATACTACTAGTGCCCTTCCTGCTCCACCCACCGGCGTGCCAGGTTGCCGCGACAGTACGCCTGGAACTGGATGATGAGGTCGGAGATCTTCATGTCCCTCTCTTCCTCCAGGTGAGCCAGCACCCCGGCCCGGAAGAAGATCTTGCTCTGCCCCACTCGAAACAGGTTGGGATCCAGGTCCAGGGCCGCAATCTGCAGACGACGCGCAAGACGACGACGATTATGGGGGGTTTGTGACGCAGAGACCGCGAAGGCCGCCCGTGCCACGACAATGCACAACGGGTACTGAACTCCACACTGCGGAGTCACTTTCTTCCACGACAAAATGCGTAGTCACGCTTGGTCGTAATGGCCATCCGGGCGTTCCCGGAAACACCTCAATTTCTGTGGGGTTTAGACTTTGGTTTTCTATGTTTTCCCACACTTTTTTTGATCGCCTATGATAATAAAATTTGAGTAAGCGGTGCAAAAAAGCCAGCATGGAGAAAGGTTCATTTTAATGCAGCATCAACTTAATTAGCTGACTTATTGTGACAATTAGCCCGCTATATTATGCTCTTCTGGCCACCTAACTCACCTGCAAAGACAGCATTAGTGTAGCAGTTACGGTTTTTTTCAAACAAATCAGTAAAGCCTAAAAAAATAATACACCCTGTATATTCTGATGTGTAAAGCATTGCAATTTGTTTTAAAAAAGTCGTAAAGGCTAAGTCACCTGCATAGACTAATGCAGTCTATGCAGGTGAGTTACACGGCCAGAAGAACAAAATATAGGGGGCTAATCGTCACAATAACTCAGCTAATTAATTAGAAGATGTTCGTTCACTTTTTATTAGAAAAAATGAACATACGATTTCAATTATAAACTTGTTTAGAGTCACCGCGAACTACTAAATTGGTGAATTTCTAGAAAGACTTGGAGCATGTGAGAAGAGGAGTGAACCACCACAGTTACCGTTCGTGCAGCAAGCACAAAGCTACCAGTGAGATAACCCGCCCGAGCAGTTTTTCTGCTTCTTATCCCCGTTTTCTCACCGCTAGCCTCGTCCGTGCCTGCTGCACGGGTGCTAACTTGAGCGCCCTACTGCGCTTCCCACGCACTCAGTCCTTCCAAAAACTACTCACTTAGGGGTCTTTAATGACACCTAGTGAGTTTTTTAACTGGAACCATACGTTTATTTCAAATAATTAGAGATAATGAACAACTTTTGCTTAATTATTCAACTTATTGCAACAATTTGCCACCTACATTATGTCTCCTTGGCTGTAAAACTCACCTGCATCGACCACATTAGTGTAGCTTTTACGCCTTTTATAAAACAAATCTGTGCAGCATAAAAAAAATAAAAAAAACATCCTGTATCACCGCCAATGCAGTCAATCGCTTGCTTCATTGACTGCATACCAACCAGCGGCTCCTTGAAGGACGCCGCAATTCGTGGGAACAATGAGACAACACAATCCAATGTGAGCAAGTTGACGTTTCATTGTCCCTTCAAAGCAGAATTTTGGACCAACTTTCCGTAACGTCCCCACCCAGACTGTGCAAGGACTGGTGTCATCCCCATAGTTGCCCAACACCGGTGGTGGTGTGGGCAAGGAGGCTGCCTCCCAACTCCGACCCACTGCCCCCAAGAATGCAAAAAGCCGTCCATCGAATCGTGCGTCCAAAATGGCGCCGCCCTTACCATCTTCTCGCAGGCAAGCTTGCCGTCCATGAAGCCCTTCGGAATGGTGTTGGGCGTCAGCAGCTCGTACCTGAAAACGGGGGCGACGTCTTAATGTCAACTCCCGGGCGTCTGCTGCACGTCATTGTAGTCTAAATCTTTTCAACTGCATCGCTCGATGGCGTTAAAATATTAGAGGTTGGTTATCATGGACAAAGAAAGCTCAAAAGTGTTTACATTGTGAATGTCTAGACAGATACGGCTAAGCTCTCCGAGTCAAGCAAAAGCTCACATCGCCTAGCCACCACTTACAAAGAAATGAGGCTTTTCACAATGTTAACCCACATGAAAAGCACAGCTATTCACAATCTCAATCGATCGTCAGTACCACCCAATAGACAGTGAGACCGACTCGTGTCTATCTGCAAGAGCCTTCTAAAAAAAAACTCGCGTACACAGCTGCTGTGGCCCCCGATCCACTCAACCAACACAGAGCAACACGGTTTGTTCAAGAACCTATAGCTTCAGCCCACATTAATGCACTAAAGGCATAGTTTGCATTCGCCGGTATGTGCACCAAAGGTCACACAAAGCGCAAGTGGTGACCGAAAGGAAGCGAGATTTTAGAATTTCCCTCAATATAATTTCCTCCTGCAAGCGCATTCTGTGCCATCAGTAACTGCTGGGGCTCTATCTTTTCGGGGTTTACTATTTTCCTTGAATTTGGGGGCGTTTCTTTAGAGATTTATTTTTTCCCACAGTTTTTTCAACGTTTATTATCAGTGTCGGCCAAAACATTCACACTTATCGAGCCTATGTGGAAGAATACAGGACAAGGGCATCCCCAACCTCAAAGGAACATCCGCATGACTCGGATACTTGCAGAACGTCCCGACACCGATTAAACGGGCGGATTATGCAGATCTATTCGCCGTTAAGCAACCGAACGTGTTAGGCGCTCCGACAACACAACATTGCGGAAAGGGGTCCCACCTCTGCCTGAACTCCTGGAAGGGGATCCTGTTGGGGAAGCCCTGGCGGCAGATGCGGATGCCCTCCAGCACTCCATTGCAGCGCAACTGGTCCAGCACCAGCGGAGCGTCGATCTTGCCCGCCTGCTCGCAAACAGATGCGCCAGCGTTCGTGAGGTGCACTCCGGATGCGTAGAGGGAGAGATTTTGGAAGCTTAAAACCAGGCGAAAATGGTCGCACCTTTTTTTCTCGTGGCATGCCTCCGAGTCAGTTACCGCCCTTATGCATGAACCCTAAAGTGAGGCTCTGTTTAAGTGACTGCTACCTCAACTCAGCACTGCGGGTCATGTAAACAGCCTTGACAGCGCATCATATTTGGGCTGTTTCCCGCGCCGCAAGAACTACTGCAGTTATGCGGCGCATCGCTGCGCTTCTGTAGTTGTGAGTGGCCTCGAACGTGTCGAGACCAGACTTTCAATGCTTGGCAGGAGTTCGCAAAGAACGCTGTGACCGACAAATTGCAGCTACAACTGGTGTGTGAGGGGAAGCTCACAAATACAAGCGAGAATATGGTGTCACTTGTCCCAAATCAGCGAACAGCACACACACAAAAACATAGACTGCAGTGTTACGTATAGTCAGTTACGGGTTACGAAAAGTATTCTAGGGAAAGGAGGGCTGGGGAGGAGGAAGCAAACGGAATGCTGGAGAGAAGGAAACCTCCTCCTCTCTCCAGTGTTCCGTCCGCTTCCTCCTCCTTAGCCTTCTTTTCCTCGAAAACTTTTCTTAACCTGTAACTGACAATAGAATGCATAATGCAATACATAAGGATTGCACACTGGAATGCATACTTAAATGCACATTTGAATGCTTACTAGAATTCACATTGAAATACACATGGATACAACTGAAACATGCACTAGGATCGTCAATGAAACACACAATAGAATGAATACTGCAATGATGAGTGGAATGCACACTGGAACGCATACTTGGATGCTTGCTAGAATTAGCAATGGAATAAACAAAGAATGCACACTACAAAATAGACTGGAGTGTATACTGGAATGCATAATTCACCAGAATGCATATTTGGATGCTTGCTAGAATTTGCACTAAAATACACGCAGAATGCACACTGGAAAAAAACACTGGAGTGTTTACAGGAATGCATAATGGACCTTTTTCGAGTTATGAGTGCCGGGCAGCCCAACACGACTCCGCTCGTCAAAACATATTGACATCGTGCCCTTGTATCGGTTTTCGTTGCTTTCTACACCCAGAAACTGACACCCAGAAAAATAATCGTCAAAACAGACAAAGTTGGTCATACGGGATGGGTGCCCCGCAAAAATGGAGACGGCGGGAAGCATGGCCACGGTACAGGGTGTGCGCACGCTTAGAAGCTTCCTGGAAAAAGGTCCACTGAATGCATACCGGAACGCAAAACCGAAACGAATACCGGAACGCACACCGGAATGCACATCGAAACGCAGGACACGTGCCGACTGGGGCGGTCTGGAGGAGGAAGCCTCAAGGAGGACCCACCTTCTTCTCGTGGTTGGGGATGATGCAGCGCACGAAGTTGGGGTTGGTGTTTCGCAGGGTGACCATGAGCTTGGCCAGCTGGTCCTTGTAGAGCTGGCTGACCGTGCGGAACATGCCCTTGCGGGTGCGGGCCCCGAACTGCGTGTCCCCCATCGTGGCCGTGCCCATGCCTACGATTTCCGCTGCCGGTCCGTCAGCGGCCGACACCACGTTCAGGAGGGGAGGGAAGGGGGGGGAGAGGGGACGAGACAGTTGCGGGACGTTAGTAAGGTCCGGTGCAGGGAGGTGGCGTGTTTCAGAGTTGCGCGGGTGGCAAGGACGAGCTTGCGGCGCCGGCTTTGGGGAGGGGAACTTAAAAGGATGCTCCGCCGGATCGTTTGAGGTCGCCGATTTGCACTTACTCTAAGTAATCCACCGTTACTCGAAGTAAAAAAATCTGCCAGTCTCTTTGGTACATCTCAAAGGCACTCTAAATCCGTGGCGGTCATATTGTCACGTGGTGCGTTATCACCGTGTTACGTGGTGTAAAGACTGGCAGTTGTAGGAAAGGTGCACGGTAGAAGGGCGTGTGTTCTTAGAGACGTGGTGCAGGGTGTGGACAGGCTGTGCGGGTTAGGGCGAGGCGACACGCTCTGGCACGTTTTTCCTCATCCCTATTTCAATGCTTCCGAGGCACCCCATGACCTAAAAGAGTTTACAGGTTTTTTTTTTCTTCCATTACGAGAATTGACTATGCATTGTCGAACGCTTATTATTGGCCCGAATGTAGAGCTAGTGGTCCAACCAGGTTCCAAAGTTTCAGCACTAACTGTTATATTATTAGAGAGTTAGGCAATTTTCTGAAACTTTCAATGCAAAAACAGGGTCTATTTTTGCTTTTTTTTGGTAACTGGTGCTACTGAGCTCTATGCATTCAAGAGCTCTGTTACCCACCCTTTTCCCATTGAAAATTTCAGAAGATCACTTCTGAATAAGATAACGGTTAGTGCTGAAACTCTGCCATCTGGTTCGAACTGCCGGAGCAACATTTGGGCGGAGAATGAGCATTTGGCAATGCATGGTTAAATTTTGCGGTGAAAAACAAACACTAAACTTTTTTAGGGGTCTTAAATGAAAACCCCACAGATGCATTTTTTTTTAAACCAGCACATACATAAATAAAATCTTAAGACTATCTTTTATATTAGGGCGATCAAACTAAGCAACAGCTACCCTAGATAAACGTGTTTCCCGAACTTCTTGGCGAGTACAATGGCACGTGCCACGTCTTCACTCGTGTGATTCGCCAGATATGACCTCATAACAAAGGTGGCGGAATAGGAAGTTTCAGCGGAACAGGAAGTTGTAAGATTACCTCCAGACGCATACTTCATGCACAGTCGAGACACTTCTCGCGCAACTTTTTCGGACCGCACATTTCGCATTGCTGGACCAAGGCAGGTCGAAGAGGGGGGAACAACAAGGACAACGGTAACACAAAATGCATTGCGTGTTGGCCCACGGCGACGTTTTCTAAATAAACTCGGTACTCGTTTTGCGCTGAATCGGCTGTTGGCCGAAACTCGTGTTCGATAGGCGAGGGTGAGAGACTCAACTGAACGCCGAGGCAGCACTCGTGCAACGCTCTTCAGTTTCGAAAGAAAGTGTGTTACAGGAAGTGGCCACATAACGAGTTCCGAGCTTAAAGGAAGTGGACCGTCTCTTCGGCTCACCGTCTTTCCAGATCTGGACGATGAAGGGGTCCTGTGCGTTCTGCAGGAGGGACACCACATTTTCGTTCAGGGGGTCCATGTTCTTCATCAGCCACTGGTTTGCCAGGTAGTCCACCTGCAGCGTACGACCATCTTGCATCGAGTCTAATGCCTCCGCAACATGCATTATCGTCCTCTCGATACAGTTGCCTCGAAAAGCCATGAGCCACACGATACTTATGATTACAAAACTATGATTTGCACCACATTTGCGGGATGCACTGCTACAAATCGCACCACATTTACGGAATGCGAAACTACAGCTTGCACAATGCTTACAAACAATTGACAGAAATCTGTCTGGGTCAGGGTGTAAGATAGACAGGTGGGGAAACGGCCCATAGAAGCCTACGGCAGCGCCGTGACCGAATTGTGTACTCGTCTGCTTGCGGGTACCCCCGATTTGCGACAGATGGCGCTGCGGCGAGAGGAAAAAAATTGAAATCGGATTCGCATGGAACTCTATGGGAGAGTGCGCAAAATAAACCGAGAGCACGACAGTCCTCTATTGAAAATCCACGAGAAACCTTCTCCGTCAGTTTAACCGATCGCCAGCGTTCGCCCACCCGGAGTGAAAGTTCGCGGTGCTCCACATGGATGGCGCCACAGAAAAAGAGAAAACCGAGGGGGACACAATCCGGTCGCTCATTTGGCTCTCGTTTCCCCACCTGTCTATCTTACACCCTGGTCTGGGTGGAGAAACAATAACTAAAAAACTGAAAACCAAGCCCTAGATCTTGGGGACCCCAAAATTTAGAGCATGGCTGGTAGCCCTTTAATTAACACCTACAAAATATAAATACACGAATAGCAGGATACTTGCAGGGTACAAAACTACCTACAAGTACAACACATTGTGGCACAAGGTGCACTGTGCGACACAGTCAATGCTAGCACGACACCTCTGCCTTTTGCTCAGAGTATTGTTGAACAGAGAATTTTACCGCCTCACCTACTTTGGCACCGAAGACGAGCACGTTTCACTAGACTAATGGTCCCGACAACAGCCTTTTAACGGAGAGGAAGGAACAGAAATACCTGCAATCGTTTATCCCTCCCAGTTGTGTCTCCCTCGGTACAGTCATGCAAATTAAAGCCCTTTGATGCGCGTTTGTCTTACGAGTTGCTTCCAAATGGCGGCACAGCACTTGGTCGTTGCACGCGTCTTGCGCTACAATAGTTGTCGTTATTCGTAAGAAACAAGAATTGAGAATTTCGTTAACTATTCTCCCAGTTCTTCATCCCAACCACCCTCCTGGCATGGACGAGCGATTAGCACCCACCTTGCCGGCATAGTGTAGGATGGAGAAGTCTGCGGTGCCCCTGAAGTCGGTCTTGATGAACTTGGGGTGCTGGTTGTGGGAGGTGACCAGCTTCTCCGTGAAGGTCTTGTCCGTCGCCTTGGGGAACATGCACTCCTCGTCTAGCAGGGCCAGGATGCCCATGGGCTTCTCGATCAGGTCGATGGTGGGCTGCAGGTCGAGGCCGAAGTCGATGAACTTCCACTCTATGCCCTCCCGGCGGTACTCCTCCTGCTCCAGCACAAACATGGTGTTGTTGAAGAGCTGCTGCAGCTTCTCGTTGGTGTAGTTGATGCACAGCTGCTCAAACGAGTTGAGCTCGAAGATCTCGAAGCCCGCAATGTCCAGGATGCCGATGAACGAGGCACCCTGCCGCTTGGTCCGGTCCAGGGACCGGTTGATGCGGTTCACCAGCCAGCGGAACATGCGCTCGTAGCACGCCTTTGAGATCGCCTCCACCGCAAACTCCACCTGGGCGTGGGGCAAGAAAAATAGCGATCGGTCCAAAAAGCACGTCGACAAGACTCCCAAACATTCACGTATTTCGGCGACCTCACCTCAAGGGGATTTCCTCTTCGTCTCAACGTCCTGCCGAGTTCCACTACTGGTCAGAACTTATTACCGAGGTTCCTCCCAATTTTAACGCAGAATGTGTTTTATGGGTCGTTTTGTATGAGGAAATTGTCACGAATGAACGTCATAACGAGCGTCATAAACAAGTGACACGCTGGAAACGTTACATACGTCAAGGTTATGCATGAAGTTCGAACCCCGGCGGGACTCAAAACTGGTTCGGTACAGAGCCGTCTGTATTGGGAGAGCTTGGTGTTCTCTTGATCATGCCGACAGTCTAGCAACCATGACCAGAGACCTGGCAACCAATTGTTTCCCCGCCAGATTGTGTTACTAATTCATAACCCACTCTGGATTAGCCACCCTGTGTCAGCAGTTATGCGTCATCGCACCGAAAGGGTCTCTCGTTAATGCAAGTGCCTTTGGCACCTTCCACACAATCAATGGCTCGTGCTTCCTTATCTGCAACCATCTCCAAAAATATTACATCTTTCATTCCTTTCTTTGTGTAGAAAATTTTTCTATATTCCCACCGCTGCCACGATTGAACATTGCAGAAAGTGTTTGCTATGCAAGAACTGCGAACTCACGTTCTACACTGCCCGACTTCTTTCGCCAGCATGCTTTTGTTTGAAAACAAACCTAAAAAAAGCTTATTTGTAAGTTTTGATCTTGGAGATCAATAAAAAGTGAACGATCTTTGATAGATGTGGTCAGTTACAGGCGTAGCAGAATACCGATGAAGGAGAATGTCTTCATACGGCTACTGGTAACCGTGAATTTAAGTGGGCTCGCTCAGAGTATAGAGTGGCGAAACGAAAACGAATTTCCATCTTGTGTTATCGCAAGGTCGGCTTGTTCCAGCTACACTTTGCGGACACCCATCCGCCAAACTCTCAGTTAAAATGGCCCTGTGTAGGTGCGGTGACAGTCCGACACTATAGCCACTGAGCTACAGCATCTGAATGCAGAAGTATCGGAGAGTCTGGCAGGCCTTGGGTGGAAATAAAATAGATATAAAAATAATAAAAAATAAAGTATTATAAAGTAGATAAAACTAAATAAAGAACAATAGATATAATAAAACAAAATAAATACAATGAAATAAATAAAATATTAAAAATAAAATAAATAAAAATAAATGAAAATAAAAAAAAATGCTAAAAATTAAAAAAAACACAGGGTTTCTTATGTTATCCCTAAGACGACTTGAAGGCAAAAGCCCAAGTGCTGATGAATTAAAGACAGACACAGGATTTACGGATGTGGCAGTACACATTATTTACAGATGTGGCAATACCCCTCCGCCCGTGTCGGAGGGGTACCGTGACGGACTATGAACAAAAGGTCGCTGGTTCCGACGCCAGCCGAGGGAAAAGAGCGAACAGTATTTTCGGAGGAATGTAGTGCCTCTACCGATTCTGGCACAAGTAACGCCACCTCGTGGTCCAATGGGGAGCCGTGGGTTTTGGTACCTTTCGTGTTGCCGGTTTTCATACCTTTCGTGTCGCTGTCGCGTTCGTCGACGTGTTTTCGCTCAAGGACTTTGAAGGTCGACTGATGAGATGAGACATATAAAGCTTTCGCCTTAATAATAGACAATAAAAAAGACTGAAAAACCTAACACAAACCAGGCACGGAGTTTGCGGGACATGGGTGCTCTGCCTGCATCATTGGGCCTGCAAGCGCAAGGCGTCGGTCGCTCTCTAAAGCTAACCTCCGGACAAGACTTGAGGTGCCTTTCCCAAAGACGAAACGGGCGCGACATACCTGCTCCTTGGTCTGGGCCTTGGTGACGTGGTCCCGGCCCACCTTGAGCCGGGGCCGAAGGAAGGCCTTGGTCATCTCGGTCACGTTCAGCCCCAACAGGTGGCTGACCTTCTGCGCCACGGTGTTGTCCGGCAGCGTTGCCTGGTCGGAGTTGCGCTCCTGGCGGAACTCCATGTTGCCAAACAGCAGCGTTGCCGACACCACCCGGAAGATGCCTGCAATGCCGGGGGCCCGAGGTCGGCTCGCATCCAACGAGTCGTTTTAAGCGAAACGCTTCTCACGATAGAGACTTTTCCGTGGAGAAGAGCAAGCAGTCGATTGTAGAGGTGAGGGGATTTACAGACTGGCTAGCACCCGAAGGAAAAAAGCAAACTACAAATGTGAGACCCTCGAAGGAAGAGATAGATCTTCCAGGCACCCGAACATCAGCCACTGACCTCCGTGACATTCTTGAAGCGTCACTTCGTGCAGCCCGTTTTGTCGCAGAATTGAAGCCATGCGCCTATCCTTTTGGCATTACCGATGCAGCCTAACATATTGAAGAGCCGAGAAATCTGTCTAAGGCACGGACCAAAATGTCTCACTCAAGACAAAGTCTGGTACTAGCAACCTGATGGTCCAGAGGCTTTGTTACGGCGGGACCACTCACAGTTGAGGTCCTCCTGGTTGAGGCCCATGATGGACATGGACTTGACCGTGTTGCGGAACTCCTGGGCATCGTCCACTCCGGGCACCGGGACGTGGCCGTGCGTCAGAAACGTGTAGTTCTTCACGTCCTCCAGCAAGTACTCCTCTGTCAAGACGAAAAAAAAAAAATGAATCCTTTGGTCCCACGGTTAGACTTGGCGGATGCAGAACGCGTGGCGTATTTCGAGCAGCGCTGGCCTTTTCGTTACGAGCGGGGACGTCGTGAACCTGCCGAGGTTCAAGTTCTACCAAGTTCAACTTTCTCGAACTCTTCTACCAAGATTGACTAACGAAAACATTAAAGGTACCTACTTTTGCCTTTATATTGCTTAAACACTGGTAATCATTTTATAAAATATAAACTAAACTACTCAAGCTTTTCCGCATGCATACCCCTCTCCCCCGTTTCCGCTTCCCACCATTTTTGGAGGGCAAAGTCCAGCATGAACAACGTATTCACCACCCATCTTCGAGCGCATTTCATCTTTTTCAACGATTCTTTGTCGGTATCGGTAGCATGCGGCATAAAAGGCAACGAAGACCAATACAACGGCACAGAGCCAATGTCTTCCAATGGGCGGCAGCACATTGGGCTGCCCTTTGTTCTAAATTTGCGGAAAACTCACCAGACTGTGCTCGTTACTGGGAAAAAAATCCATCTAGAGTGGAAACTGAACTGGTGAATAATTGATTACAGACCAATTCAGGTTTTCTGCCGGACAATAAAATATTAATCCTAAATACATTGCGTGAAAAAAAACAATAAAAACATTTCCCGTTTTGAGGCATTTATTCTCTGAAAGAACAAAGGCTCCCCCAAGCATTCCCCAGTAAGTCGAGGCTGGAGCCAGTAAGCTGATGTTGCAAGATTCTTGCGATGAAAAACAATCTGCCAGGCTACTCTTTCCTACACCTTCGAATGACATCTCCCAGGTGTCGAAATGCGACACCTGCTTGAAGGCACCTACGCTAAAAGCACTAAAGAAGACATATTTCTCATCCTTATCAGATTTTCCTCTTTACTGGTTTCAGCTCCCTGCCACTGACGCACACTGATGCGATAAATAGAAAGGTGAAACAAAGGCCGTCCGTTATCTCCGTTTCTCTCGAGCAGTCGTTTTGCTCGGATGTAAGGGATCGACATGTTTGGGACCAGGGGCTTGGTTACCAGCCATTTTTAGCAACTTTCACTAACAATTTACTACCTGCGAACGATTTATGAAAACCTTCATTCCAGCACGAGAACCACCAAAAATGAGCAGTCCCGCGCTAACCCACAGTACAGCAACAGCGACAGATGCGACGCGTCACGGCAAGTCGTTGTGTTTTGGCATCGCGTTCACGCACCGTGGGGTTTTGATGACCAAGTTTCAATTGGCATTGTTCTCACCTCGCTGTTCTATCTGCCGCCCGATTAAAAAAGTTCAGTTGTATCCGTCCGTCTACCACCGCCTAGAAGAAGGGCCTGCACACCACGTCGTCGTCGGTAGACCCCCACACAGCCCAGAGCGGCAAACGGGCCAAAACTCCAAGAAAATATGACGCAAAGTGGCAGATGTGGGTGTCTTGGCATCGCCGACGCGTCTAGCCGTTTGTCGCAGGGAGAACCGCGAGGTGCACGCTCGTGAGACCGAAGCCAGCTGAGCCAGCGACTTCGCCGTGACGTACCATGGATTGATGCGGGACTGCTCGTTTCTTCCCAAGAGCGCGTGCCGTCGACGAGCTTGACACTAAAGCGCCCGCTCCGCGCCCAACGAACCTGGGATCGAATTTCACGGAAGGTGAGCGACCTCTTTTGGGGATTTGTCAATCTCGACGACGAACGGCCGACGGCTCACACTTAAGCTCCGCTACGACAATGTCAACGACTACGACGGACGCTATTTCCAGCGGTGGGAAGTCCACGACAGATATCGCCGTGAAAGCACGACGTAGCCTCAGAGAGGAGACAAGCTGCTCGACGAGTCATGTACCCGAATTTACGGTACGGCAAAATATTTGATTATTGTTTGACGTCTTAATACGGTCGGAGCTGACTTCGTTCTCGCTTTGTTTCTCCCCTGCTCGCCTTAGTTAGAGGATTGGCAGGCTCGAGCATTCTCGACCTAAAAAAGCCGAGCAGTTAACAAACCATGACCAAAACAACGAGAAAGGAATCTCACTCTTCTGTTCAGGCGTGGCTCCGTGCAGAAGCTGGTAAAAAATGTGGAAGCAGCGTTCGTCTCTCGCCTGACGGATGGCTCGTGACTTCTCCAGAAGATCTTGTCGGCATTGTCAAGGCAGAACTGTGACCGTCCACAATTTTCCCCTTTCCTCCAATTCCTTCTCAAGATACGAGATCCGTTCCATAACAATTATGTTCTCTTGTACTACACGATAATGTCGGACACAAATTGTACCGGATTGTGGCTTAGTTCACGAAAGTTAACGTATCCTTCCGTCTGCGACCTGCGTTTTTGTTTGGGGGTCGTAACTGCAAAAGCAGGCTGCAATAACTCGAGCAGATTCAATAATAAGCCCAAAACCAAAAATTTTTCAAATTTGTTTTTTGTTTTTGTAAGCTTTTGAATGTACCCGTAAAGCAACAGGGTTGGTAACCAGTTTTAATAAAAAATACCTCCTTTGATTTTGGATTTCATTGATTACACCGAGTGAGAGCTAATCGATGTTGCATTTGAAAAGTTCAGCATCTTGGATTAAACACGTAAGAGACAACAAATGTAATGCATACTTTTACGATTTAATCACGAATGCCATAACATGATCCTGTAACAAAAACCGAAACCTTAGTAGCTCGATTTTGGTTTCTGAATACATATCAGTATAGCAAAGGGATTGCTTAAAATCGTAATTTAAAATTAAAAGTCTGTTATAAAACTTCCAAAGCTTGGTATTCAGCCATCTGATGTGGCAGTACACGCAAAGTAAGGATACAGGTCTCGATGTTGGCACCGGCGATGAACCCAGAGGCATCAAAATTTATCCTAATAAACTTCCCCTGCAAGAAAAAATCTAAAAGTTAAAAGAGCACAAAGAAAAATTTCAAGTTCCTAAGAAAACTATCATGAAAACAACGAAGCACCCAACATACTACTTACACTATTCTAACTGTGCACGCAAGTTGATTTTCATTATTTCATAACCGTACAAAGAATACGTAGCTCCTACTTAAAACAAAAGGCTCAAGTACATAGTAACTTCGAAATGACAAGCTTGTAGATGATAGAAACTACATAGCTTCTACTTGACAGAAGATACCACCAGGTTTCTTTGTGGCAGTAGCACCTACGTCGCAGCTGGAACTATGTATCTTTTGCATTAACAAAAGACGCAATATAATTTCTATGGACTAGCAGTATCCGCAAAACAATTAAATACTAGCTTTGGTGCAGTCGTAGTTCCAACATAACAAGAGCATTACAGAAAACTGCAGTTTCTGCACAATACAAAAGCTTCCCAGTTTCTGCATAACAGCAGAAACTGTAGTTCCTACACAATGGTAGTTTCTGCAACAGAGTAAAAGCCACACACTTTCTGCACAACGATAAAAGCTAGTTCTGACATAACGATAGTTTCTGGAAAAGGGTAGAAAAACCCACAGTTTCTGCACAAAGATAGAAACCGCAGCCCAAAAGCACAACAGTGGCTTTTGCGGCAAGGTTAAAGCCCCGTAGATCCCACGCAACGTTTAAACACTGGATAGCTTCCACGAGCAGCAATCGCGACGAGACTCACAAATCTCGAGGAGTTGTCGTTCTTGACCGTCTTGGCATTCCCAAACGCCTCAAGGATCGGGTTGGCTTGCAACAGCTGCTGCTCTAGCTCCCCCTGGTGATGAGAGGGGGAAACAAGACAGGACTCAAGGGAGAGAGGACTCGGGCGAGAGAGCACTCGAGCGAGAGAGTACTCAAGCGAGAGAGGACTCAAGCGAGAGAGGACTCAAGCGAGAGAGCAACAAACGACTCATTTGGACCAACTGCCACAAAAACAAGGAGACCAACGGCAGACGCGGAACCCAACACAAAAGATGTCGACAGCCTTGTTTCAGACAGAGATGTAACCAAGACAGGACAAAAGGCAAGACCACTTGGCAAGCTGCAATGCTGTAGTCACGAAACTACATTAAACTCCATTTCGCGCTCCGCTTGACCAAGCAGACACTACAAGCCATCCCAGCCAGTCCAGTGCCACGAGCATAACGCGACGCTTTGCGCCCCGAGCGTTACCGTGCCACTCCTGTGGGTCGGGAAGGTCACCCGACACTGGTGTGACACTGGATCAGCTTCTAAGGTCCCTAGTGTCCACTGCAGTGCATTCTAAAGTGAAACAAAGTGTAGAAGTTCATATTTTTAAAAAGAGGGTCTGCCAAAACAGGTTCACAACAATGAGAGAAAAAAAAAAAGAATGAGTCAAAACTTAGTTTTACAAAAAATCGGAACTTTAACGTTTAGATTTCGAAACATACTGTCTCCCTTGTCTTAAACTTACAAAGTGTAGAAACTAAAAAAAAAAAGAAAAAGAAATGGAGTCCGAGATGACGATCACACGCGCGCTGCCAACAGGACCCTCCATCGCACCACGAGGCACCACACCAGACCGACAACACGGTGCACAAGATGCCACGACGACGACGTGCGACGCACACAGCTGGGCACACACAGAGCCACGCACGGTACCTACCGCAAGGCAGTCCTCGTGGGCATAAAAAAAAAAGGTCAGACGGAAACAACATTACGGCCGACGCCAGGGCTGCGAAAGCAACGTTAGTCGCACTCGCGAGGCAAGATTTGGACGTCGGTCGCGTCTTACCACGCGCCATCCTGCGGTTGGTGAAAACATCGGGCTAACTCGTTAACTTGTAACATTGATCTATTTTAAAAGAAAATAAAACTGAAAGAGGGACGCAGGATGCACATTGTGTCCCCCTCGGAGGGGTCATATTTGTCGCCTCGCGGGGATGGAGACACAGAAAGGTGTCGGAATCGGGCGGCGATGAAGGGAATGAAAATTGTACAACTGATGCGACAGGGGCGATAAATGGCGTCCCAATGCCCGCCCCACCCCCGACAAATGCTGGCCCGACGCCGGCCCAACCGGAAGAGCCCCGACTTTGTGCAGCCGAAGCACCGTTGATAATTACGCGCACACGGTGTGGCCGGGACAGCAGAAGACCACCGCCGCCTTGTCCCATTTGAGAACCATTGCACAAGCATGTGCAACATACCACATCAGGTTTTCAATGCACTAGCCTAGTGGCCTGTTCACACAGCGCCTTTTGCTTACGCTACGGTTCATCACAAGAGCTTACGTCAGTTTATTTTGGCAGAACATCCGCGCTTTGTGTGAAGCTCTGCAACCAATTCAAAAAGTGGCCTCGCACGCAATATTCGAGGCACAAATTTTCCAGCGACAGCGACCTATAACGCAACACAAGAAAACGTAAGCAAACGCTTTTGCGTAAACGAGTTTTAACGACTTAAGTCGAGAAAATTGCAAGCGTTTAACGACTCCTTGCTTCCCCTAGTCCGGCTTGGGGAAAACGCGCATCTCAAGAATGAACCGACACCAGTCTACGCCCCCTCCAAAAGGGAAGGAGGAGCGTTTCCCCGTCACCGCCCACCCAGGAACACCGAAGAGAGCCACTCACCATGTTGAACACCGGGGGAGTGTAGGTCTGGTGAGAGACGAGAAACGGAGAGATGCAATTAGAAAAAAGGGGAGGGGGAGGGAGGGGGGAGGGAGAAGTGCATGCGGAGACTGTTAAGGGGAACACACACCCAAAAAAGTACTAAGCCCCATCCTAAAGAGTACACACCACCAAACTATGACACACCGTTCCCAGAGCATCTTGTTGTCTTTCTCTCGTTTCCTTTATACGACCCAAAAAGGAGAGGAAAGTCCAAGACAAAGCCTCAACAAAGCCTCGCGGGCTTGGAAGCAGGAATCAAATGGACACTGAAGACGATGTGACAACTTCCCAGTTTTGTTTTCTTTTTTTTTGCCATCTAAAGAGCTTGACATACTGCTCAATTCTGTCCCAAATACTTGGGCATAAAAACGTAATACGAGACAATCGACGGAAACGGGCAAAATCAAAGCGCCTGCCCACACTCTGAGAGGAGTGAGAATGAGTAAGTGATGCGAGTGATGTAAGAAAGGTGTAAAAGTCGTCAGTGTGCGACAAAGTGATGTTTGACAAAGTGATGTTCGAGAGAGTGATGTTCGAGAGAGTGATGTTTGAGAGAGTGATACACGAGTGATGTAAAGAGATGTGAGAGGGTGATTTGTGTGTGTGAGGATGAGGTGCGAGACAATCTATGTGATACGGTGATGTGAAAAAATCTGAAAAAAATCTGATGTAGGGGTGTTGAGAGGAAGAGAGATCCATAAAAAGAATGTGGGATGTGTAAAAAAAACAGAAAATAATTTAAAAAAAAACTAGTTATGAACGCACGGCCATATTCTTCTCTCCAATACTGCTACAGTGCGAGGTGCAAGTAGCGCAATCACTCGATCAGCTGTTAAATAAAATTGGACCCTAGAAATCGCTTCAGTGTCCCTTCAAGAGCTCCCAGCCTCACGAGGAAAAACGAGCATCCCAAAGTGCAGAGAAAACAGCCACCATCTGTTTGGTCTGAGCCACATGCAGCTAGAGCATGCTCCAAACACCAAGAGGTGGCGCAAACCATTCCCCGACATTCCACTACCGTCACTGCGCTAAGGATGCACCAGGGGAGGCCCCCTTTGCAGAAGGAAAAAAAAGAAAGGATAAAAAGCTTCTCAGCAACTCTAGAGCTGCTGATGAGGGACACCTAGTGTCTCTCCCTAGGGGAATAATTCAGACGAGCTGCCAGCACCATGACCTATGCAAGAAGGAAACAACAAGATGGTAGAAATAGAAAAAAAAAAGCATGGATGCATTTAATATTGAACAAAATCTAGTATCGTTTACCTGCTCCCAGAAAGATGAAAAGGTGCAACCCAAACACCGGTGTTAATTTTAAATTCTCCGAAAGGGCATTATGTGCTGCCCTTTCAAAAAACGGTTGAAGTTAGGAGGCAGCAGCTCCATGGAAAGCAGTTGAAAAGATTCTAATATATATCATTCATAATTTAAGTTCATTGCAGTAGTGATACGTCTGTCAAGGACAGCACCCAGCTTATAAAACTATATAAATTTATATACATTTATAGACTCGTATAAAATTATTACCACATGCGAAGGGAGCCTCTCCAGGAAGGAAGATCACTTTTCGGGTCCCCTTCACCGATCACCGGGGGCTCTGTCAGTAAGAGCTAGTGATTTAAGCACCGGGCGATGCACGACAAGACCTCCGCGACGCGTCGGAAAGATGGCCGAATCGGACATAATTTTGTGTGGTTGGATTTTGTCATACCCGCAGTGATCACCTCTCCTAAAATGTATAAACCTACTCACAAAAGGAAGCAATGAACACCTGCTTTGCACACCGGGAATCTCCGAGGTCATGGTTCAGCCAACTTTCCAACGCGCCAGAAGACCCGTCCAGCGTTTCGTCGTACACATCTTTTGGCACGCCACTGACCAACGAAATGCCGTAACGCTCCATTTCACCCCAGCACGGATACAAAGTCTACTAGCTGCACGGCTTCGACAACAGCTACAGTTGCAAGCAGATTTAAACTGTAAGAGCATTTGATTTAAACCAATGCGCCCATACACATGACTTTCGTCGTACACCCGCTTTAAGGTGAAACAATGCTTTGTAAATGGCTAATCGTAGGTCAGTTCAACTCAGACGAGCTGCCGGACAAGTGCCAGAGAAGTGCCGGTCAAGTGCCGATCGAGTGCTCGATCGAAGGTTGCTCGAGGGTAGGTAAAAGGAGCCAGTCACGCACAATCGCACACAGAGCCCCAAGACCGCAATGCACATTCGGAGAGCCACGTGCAGAGACATGCTGCGAGCTCATGCCGACACCGTTGCAAGACGAGAGAACCGCATTGCACCAACCCGCCACCGACAACCAGACTTACGTGAAGCGCAGGTGCAGACTCCTTGGGTTGGCATGAACGTGCAAATGCGAGTCAGTTAATGGAAAGATCTCGACAACAGCCCCCTCATCCGCGGTGCATCTCTCGAGCTTTCGACCTTCCAGACCGGCCCCAAAGGGTTCAACGCACAATTGTAACAGAGATTGTACAAGTCCCGTTCGTAGCCGCGCCACAAAACACGAGAAGCAAGGCTCTAAATATGATTTTATGTTTTGAGGGTTTATCTTTCTTCCAATTGGGGGCAATTTCGTCTGAAGGAAAAAGGTTTATTTTTTTTTTTTTTTTTTTTTTTTTTTTTTTTCAGATTTCGTGTTTTGGGGTGTCGGCCGAAAAATAAGGTTTTAACGTTTAAGAAAATAGGACACGAACCTATGATTCCCCCAACCCTTACAGAGCATATGTGTGACTCGAATTCTTTGAAAACGTCCCCGTACTGACAAGAGAAGGATATCGGATAAGCTGCGGGGGCCCGAATGAAGCAACAGCAGCAGCAGCCTCGCAGACAGCTCAGAGCAGGTTGTGTCCCCATCGACACAAAATAAAGTTATAGTTGAAGATTTTCTTCCTACGAAGCTTAATAAAACCGCCTCGAGGTAAATCAGATTTACTTGGTTTAAATCAGGTTTCATTGATTTAAATCACATTAATAAGATTTAAATCGTAGCAACTAGAAAATAGCAATTCTTTACTATACGACGTGAAAGACTGATTGACCAATTTTTTCGATCACTGAAAACAATGTGGAAGAAATGATTACCGCGAATTTAGACTTTTCAAGTACCGTTTAATAAGCCCTTCTTATAATTATAAAATTCCGCCAGACAAAATAAGCTTTATATTTTTAGATAGTGAAAAGCTTTCTTAGTTTTTCTTTTGCATTTTCAAATGCTTGCAATGAAACCTAACTTTTCTTTTTTTCATTCTGATTTGCTTGTAATAGACTAACCTAACTGACAAAGGAAATGGAAGGTAAGAAGAAAACTTGCTCTGGTTTGCTCGGCAGTGCACTGCTTTTCGTTCATATTCAGCCTTCCATAAATCTTTTTTGCTCAATGATTCTTCGGTCAAATGCAAAACATATGCACACAGACAGCATCATATGATAGACAAGTGGTAAATAAAAGCTATTTTGTGGATTATTTTTGTAAAAAACGGTTCGAGTTAAATCACCACAGTAAAATCAGTGCAATGTAAATTTCCTCGATTTTCATTCGGAGCAAATATTATGAGTGGCACCATCCCTGGGATGGTACCACCGTCGATGACAAGCGGATGTAAAAACGCAGCAACAGGCAATGTCTGCTCTTGTGTTCTCGTCCGCTTGTCACTGCTCAACTTCGGGATGGGTGCCACCTGAGAGGGGCGGAGAGAAGAAGATGCCTTCCGTCCGCTTCTCTCGCCCTCTTGTAAGCACATTCCAGTTCTTCGCTTCAAACATTCTACTCCAGTTTTTTTCGACTTTGGCATCTCATCCCAAGCTAAGAGCGTTACACCCTGACGGAGCTTGAACTTTCAGCAATGCAAGGTGGATTTAACGGAAATACAGGTAACATTTGCACACCTCTCGTTAGCAAAGAGTGTGGTTGTCCAGTGCTATCCTTTTGTTTTGAAACAACGTTCGGCCATGTTGCACCAACGGTGGTTCCTCATACACAGAGATACTTGCAGGGCGAGTATTAGGTACGTCCCGAGGGCAACCAGCAAGCTGATTAAACCTTTGCGATGTTTGGTAATTGTAGCACGGGGTAAAGCGACTGTTCACAGTCGGCCTGCACTCCCCAAAGAGACATACTCCGAAAAGAGCAGAAAGAAATCTTCGCCCGTGGCATTACGTGCAGGGATAGCCACAGGCCCGAACAAACGACGAGAGACTCGAAGACTGACCCACCGTTAACCAAATTCTCTGGTCAATAACACCTCTGTGATAATGAGGCTGCCAGGGACACATGCCACAATTCATTTCGTAACGAAACGCCCAATGGATATTTCTTCCGGCCCCTTCTTAAAGTTCCGCGCTCGGCCAGACCGGAGTCTAGATTAGTCTCGTGACCTAGAAGCAGAGGGCCAGGCTGGTGTCGACACCTGCTAGATGACTAGATGACAATCTCGTAGACTAACAAAGCTGTATGCCAGCGGCACGCACGGGGCCCAGATGGAACACCAGTAAGCTTGCTCAAATTACCTACACCTCTTGCACCGGCTGCATTCGATTTACGAGCGCAGCCCATCTTAAGACACAGGCCAAAAGTACAGTGCCCCGCACCTTTCCGTACTGCGCCATACTTTTCTGGTGCGGGTCGACTGAACGAGCCCGGCGTTGTGTCGGCGTTCAGAACTCATGCATTTAATGAACGAGAATGCCAGACATAACGTATGCTAACGCAGCACTCAGACCCAATCCGTACCCTGCGCTGGCCTCTGGCGGCTGGCAAAGAAAATTACGCGTTCTACCTCGTTGTCGATTTTAGACCGACGTCAGCAACACATTTGTTATGTCGGAAGTGTTGCTGCAGTGTTCTCCCTTTGCCTGCCTTAGAACTCGCACTGCGAGTCAAACCTTCGAGCGGCAAGAAAGTGCCCAAAATGTTGCACGCCACTGCTTTCAACTTTGGTTGCACTGCCGGCAGCGGGCAGAGCGTAATTATACGACCTCTCCCGCACACCCTCCGCCGCCGACGCCGCGGCAGCTACTCACAGAGTGGATCCCCGACGTGGACGATCGGGGCTTGGAAGATGCTACGTAGGCCAGGTACTGGATGACTTTCTTTGTGTTCTCCGTCTTGCCCGCGCCGGACTCGCCACTGCAAGTCAAGCGAACGCGCCGGACGCGTCAACGCCGGCGACGGCGCAGGACGCGCACGAAGCCACCGCAGTGTGCGGGCGCATGCGGGGACACTCACGTGCAGAGGATTGACTGGTCTTCCCGATCTGCAACAAGACAGAAAAAAGAAAATGTTTTCATTAAATTTGGGGTTTTGATGGGAAATCAAGAATGTTCATATATTCCGGTCCCCGGTCTGCGTGCGGTGTGGTCGAAGACAACTGCTACAGAGAAGGCCCGTCGTAATCGCACTTCCCAAAGTTTTCTGGAATTTCCGAGGTGTTTTCGGACTACATCCAGAAACCCCCCCCCCTCCTGAACAAAAATCTGGCTATGTGCCTGCCGCCAGATGCAGATTTTTGGATACTTTCGGCTTAAGGCTTGGATTGGGGTCTGCGACTTTTCCATTTGTTACTAAATCTAGTAGCTCTAACTGGATCTAGCCTAGTGTCGCATCCTCAGTCCAATCCAAGGCTTGGACTGGATTTGTCGGCTATTCCCTTTGCATCGGGTAGCACATTCTACGTCGGGTGAGCAGAGCCTGCGCTCTGCTCCATTTCCGGCTCATTTTCCCTGACTGGGCTCGCTTTTTGACAATATCCCTGACAATTCCCCGATTTTTCCCGGTAATTAAAATTTCCCTGACAATTCCCAGTTTTCCCGGTCGCTAGACACCCTGGTAAACTATGTTTGCAACTAGTAACCTATACAACATCCTGCCCTCAAAGTATCTACCAGTGAATGTAATGCCTTGCCCCATAAAACAACAAATTACTGTTGATTAAAAAAGAAAAATTTTCTTTCACACTGCAGCGTGTATAGCCTTTGTTTTTATCTTTGTACATCACAGTAGATGAGTAACAAATGTATCATTTTAATATGTTTTTGCCATTCAGCACGTTTCAGCTTTTTGTATCCTTATGGTAACAGTGTTAATGTGTTATTTTTAGATTTTTATGCGATTATGCGGTGTACAGAAACATCAGCAACATTTTGAAATGAACATATTTTGCTGTACCACAAAAATTCTTTCAAATAAAAAAAAATAAAAAAACATGAGAAACAAAATGCTTGTTCTGTCGTTCTCTTCACCCAAACCCCAGAAAGACTGGCAGAGTGAAGACACAGTAAAGCGACTCTTTCTTCAAAACCTTCGGTCTAACAGTCATATGCGGAATGGAAGTGTTCCACTGCCACTCAATGGATGGCGCCAGTGTGCTCTCTCGTCGTTATTGGTTACGAGCGAGCACGGCACACTTGAGCACACTCGAAAGCGTAAATCGGCGCCGACATTGCAAAGCTCGTCTTGGACACGGGGCTGTCCGATCAGCTCAGCAAAGACGCACTAAACGAACGCTCGTTGTCGGCAACGAACCCAGATTCAGTGTTGCCAATTTACCAGTTTTCCCACGAAATTTAGCGATTCTGCGAGTTGTTTAGCAGGAGAAATTGCGGTCGGCATTACGTCTAGCAGTTTTCAAGTTCTGGCGGTTCAAAATGTTCTCCAGCTTACGTTTATCTATCGTAAATGGCACAATTTCTATGGCAAGTTAGAGTCATGGAGGCGTTACCTCTGTTTACTCTCAATGAAATGCTCTTCTGTGAAATAATGCTTGCAACACCAATGAAATATTAAGGCGGTAATCATTGATATGCAGTGTTAAATTGGTCATTCGTGGCCAATTTAACACTGCATATCAATGATTTGCAGAGGGAGGTTTCAGCAGGATTTCAAAACTCCTTTAAAGGTTCTTCTTTCTTTTTTTACAACATTGCTTGGACTTTGTTTTGGGGTCAAATCAAAATCAAATCGGTTTCATTCGTAGAAAGGATCAACACAATTTGGTGGAAAAGCAGGCAGACCCATAGCCAGTTAGCTAGTTTGGGTTTCTTAAAAAAAGACTAACGTCGAGCAAAACAAGGAGGTCAATGAAGCGAGACTGGAATACTTCGGAAACAATATATATATAACACCTAATGTCTGAAGCTGCAACAATTTACTAATTAAGAGATGGTCATGAGGGTGGCTATGATTTAAAGAGAGAGAGCAGAAGGTATCTCTGAGTGCTTCGTTGAAATCATGTAGATTGAAAATATTATTTGGCAAGGTATTCCAAACTTCTCTACCACGCACGAATTCTTTCCCCGCATGTGTTACGAGATTCTGGAAGGTTAGAGAGGAAGTTAGCTATAGTGTGATGCACCCTTTACGAGCATTGTTATTGGGAACGGGTTGTTAGGGCCCCCTTGAGCTTCGGAAAACCGACGTCCGCAGGAAGCGGCGGTCTGCCGTGCACTTCCAGACGCCTGGCGCAGTGCCAGAGTAAGACCCGGGTCAAGCACCCCTCCCATGGAATGCATCGCCGAGCGATTGGCTCGTCCGATCGGCGGGCGACATCTCCTAATCCCCCGAAATCGAAGAAGCGTCCCCGCAAACGACTTTCCCTGCGTTTTTACGTTCGGCCCCAGACTCAAGGAAGCCAAAAGGAGGGGGGGGGGGGCACATTCTAGATGAAAGCGTCATCCACCCGCCCAAAGAAAAAGTAGAAAAAAAAAAAAAAAAAAAAGAGATGAGCCTATATATAAAAAAAAAAGGTTCCAAAAAGAAAAGAAATCTAACAGCCCCCTTCAAAAAGGTCAAGCGGAGCAGCAGGAGGAACCCTTAAAAACAACTACATTTCCCCCTAGAGCAAGAGGAAAAAAAAAAAAAAAAAAAATCACTCTTGCCAAGAACAAAAAAGGAACAACCGCAGCAGGTAGCCACTGGACCCGCCCCCCTCCCCTTGCTCCAAACCAACAAGGAGAGAATACAAAAACTAGACTTGGCAGGAAAAAAAAATTCTCGAGAAGAAGTCCGGCGAGAGAACTGGAATTTCGACTCCCCCCCTTTCTCGTCCCTTTTCCTCCTCCTCTATGAGGAGGTGGCATTTCTGGGCAGGTAGAGAGGGGGTCTAGGTCTAGCTAAACTTTCCGGTATGGACACAGATTCACCAGCAGCGAGGGGGGCCTACGTCCCCCCATCGTGCTTAGAGTGCCCCCATGTGCTCGTGGCAAGTTGCGTCGGATGCTGGCTTTTTGCGGGGCGGGGGGTATGTGCGTGCTCATATCTGTGTCTAGGTGCGAGGTATGCTTGTTTGTATGTCTATCCATGCATGCATGCATTTCTTTCTGTGCCCCTGCATAGACAAGACATGCAATAGCACCCCCCAATACCCAGACAGACATGCAACCAGCAATACAATACGTGCAAATGCATACAACCCCGACAGCAGAAAAACGAGCGCATGCAGGACACGATAGACGCAGCATGAAAATAGAGCAACTTGCAGACTTGTGGACAGACATGTATACTATATACAGATGCACATGAGCATGTAGACATATGTGCAGAGGCCCATTAACATGCAGACATACACATGCAAATGGAAACAAACATGCAGGCATATATGCACACAAATCTGCAGACACGCACATGCGCAAGGACACACAGATAATGTGCCAGGAAAATAAGTGCACGTATGTCCGTGTGCACGCATCAACACCGCATGTCTGCACATATGTGGATGTCTGTCCGTGTCGGTATGTGTGCGTGCATCCGGGCAGCAAGGGTCGTCTGCTGCGGCGAAACTCCCATGCAAATAAGCTGGCCGTACCTCGAATTCTCTCTCTGCCATGCAGGAATAGCCGAATAGGGTCGGAGAAAACGCGCGTCCTCTCCAAACCCTTTCCACTCCCTTTGCAAACACGATGGCACGTTTTTAGTGTTTTGGGTTTTTGGCTTTTCTCGTGCGGATCTCGAGACACCACGGGGGTTCCACAGAATCCGCTTTCTGTCTTTGCCGGTGTTGGGGCACGCGTCAACGCCGAAACATTAAAGTACGGCCAGCACGTACAGCTCTCGTCCTGACACCTCCACCGCGCTTGTTAAATGGATAGAGCTAGAGCCACTAAATAAGCTACGCTTAGAGTATCGGCACCCCGTTCCAGACGTTCTTGTGGGCGCCGCCATTTTGGGGCTTGTCCAGAGCAGACGCAACTGCCGATCGTTATGATTCAAAAGTGTGACTTACTCAGCGTTAGATTCGGTGTTAGGGAGCTCATGCAATATTGCTTTTCTTTGTCGCGAACTGTTTAAACATTTGTGGAGGACGGAAAAGCGTTTCCTGTGATTGCAGATAAAGCTTCAGATAACTGGCAACCACGATTTTAAGCCACAACGTGACCAAGTGTCGTCACTTTGAAGCGTAGCTTATTTAGTGGCACTAGATAGAGCCTACTCTACCAGCACCGCCTTGATAGCAAGGCTGTGCTGAATTGTAAACATCACTTACAAGAGAACTTGTTGTTGGGCTAGTTGGTGTCAACTGTAATGAACCATGGTTAAAAGTGCTAAAAAGATGTACACAAGATAGAAGACAAACACGCCCATGTTTGTCTTCTATCTTGTGTATGTCTTTTTAGTGCTTTTAACCATGATTCAATAAATTTAACTTACAAGAGGCACAGACAAGGCACGACTGCTGAGTCAGCGCCCAGCTGGGACTATATTCGATCAGTGAGAACATGGCTCCTGTCTTAATGCTGACACAGCACTTTTGTAAGATCTGTCCTTTTGTAGGAGACTGCGAATTCACCACTACTGCCTCATCTAGCCAGTGCTGACTCTACGGCTTTAGAGGGTGTATTTTTTCCCCTGGTCGATGCTAAGCATTCCAGATACCAAGCTTGCCCGAGACCTATTTCGAATATACCACTTGTCAGATGAGTAGCTTTGATAAACAGTAACTGAATGTCCGAAATCTGAAAAGAAAAGCCAAACTAAGTGATAACTGATTAGAGGTATGATACTATTAAGAAAAAACATATTGAGATCCTTATGTTAGAGAGCTGAATTTTTCGTGAATTTCATGGGACTAAGATGCCCGTAAGACAACGAGCCAGATTATTAGATTGACCACACACGGGGTTCATGATTTGATCTTTCTGACGGTGATGCTTGTTTCCCAGAAAATATGGCAAGAAGTGACACAAAAAAAAATAAGCTTAATGTTGAGCTCGCAGATACGCAGCACATATAAAACATGCGAGAATTATTGAGAACCTTGGA